ATTTTTCATCACTAAAACCTTTCTCAACCTCAAAAGAGGGAGCTATATAGGCATTGCCACCTTTCCCACTCCCATTCTTCTTACCATTATTATTGTCTTGAATCTAGGAGGTATAAGTTCTAGATGTAGCTTCTAGCAAGTATCCTTTGTGTACTTAGTTTCTTGCAATACTTATGCAGTACATCTTTGTTCTCAGTGGTAACCCTTGGCTTCATTCCAACATTGGCAAAGTGGTCAGCTGAGACTTCTGCTACTTGCACCTGCCTCTGACTTTCCTCACTACTAACCATCACATAAGCTTGGGATAAGGTCACTTCATCCTTTGCTAGAATGTTATGTCTGATAATATCGTATTCGAGGTTGAGTTCAATGAGAAACTCAAAAACTTGATTCCTCTCCACTAACTTCCTATGAGTTACAACATCCTTAGTACAACATCCCACACAATAGTATCCATCAGGTCAATCTCCTACTAGAGAGATTTCAGCATAGAGAAGTAAACAACTAAAGGCTTCTCCCCTTGTCTTAGATTATTCACATAATTCTTCAGCTTGTAAACCCTAGGCAATATTCAACTTTTGGGAATATAAGTCTCTATGACACTATCCCACACCTCTTTTGCAGTCTCCATGCATAGTTGCATGGAATTTGCTAACCAGCCTACAACTATTTAGTTTTCCTACATCCACCTCTCATAGGTAGGGTCGTCCTCCTTAAGTTGCTTCTTGCTCCCAGTGATGTACCCCAATTTCCCTCTACTATAGACATGGATCTTAATTAACTAAGACCATGCCAGAAAATTAGTCCTATCTAACTTTACTAAGGTTATTGCCCCCAACAGAGTCTCCACAAACCCTCCAAGGCCAAACCCATAGTCTGTAGGTTGTTTCATCTCACCTCTTGTTTGCTTCATTAGCTAAACAGAAACAAACAAAAATAAAAATGAGGTGTTACTAGTCAAGACTTACTACCCTAATGCAAAACTTCTTTTCAATTAGCCAAAATAGGGATTTCACCGGACCTAGCAAAATGGGAGAAAGGGAGAAAGTTTAGCCGCTCCTACCAAAGGCTCCAGAAACCTCTCCAACTTGGATCAATCTAAATGATAGTCAAAAAGGTTCTATTCTATCCCCAAGAGCCACTTCCAAACTCCCTTAATCCAAAAACTCTCCAGTTAGCTAGGGTTTTTAGGAGACTTTCCATGGACATGACTTGGGCCTCAAACAAGTGCTGAAGTCTTCTCCAAAAACCTCCTCTAACTAGGCTGGATCGTTTGTTAATTAGTCAGCCAATCAGCTCTCCATACAACCTGTGTATGGGACTAAAAAGGAAAAAAAGAAAAAAAAAATAGAGAGAGAGAAAGGTGGGAACACTACTCCAATACCAAGTTGTAAATTTGACCTGTATAAATCCAAAAGTAAGTACAAAAGAAGGGAAGATGGAAGAAGATGAAGAAGAGAAAGGAAGAGAAGGGAAGGAAGAAGAGAGTCAATTGAACCTCTCTCCAGTCCCCATGATGATCTTTATTCTAATTCTAATGTCGATACAATTACATGAAGGCTCATAACTAAAAAACAATAAGAATAAAAAGAAAGAAGGCTCATAACTAAGGCCCACTAATCACAAACATAAATATAAACATAACTAAATAAAAAGGAAAGGAACTAAGGCCCATTCTGCCCATCATCTCTACACTTCACTTATATCCTGGTATCCAAGTTGCACCTCCTAGGCCTCAATTATCACTTATCAAAGTTAGGGATGGCAATTTTCCCATCCCCGACGGGGACCCAACTTCCCCGACCCCATCGGGTTAGGGATGGGGATTGTTTTGGCAGGGCAGGGATGGGGATGGGGATTGAGGTCCCCACCCTGCCCCGACCCCAGTTATATATATGTATATATATCAAAACATTATTTATAATTTAAAATTTTTATTTATTTTAAGTAAATTTATTTTTCAAAAAATACTATTACCTAAAAAAATTTTGGGGATTCGGGTCCCCGCAAGGAACCCATCCTCATTGGGGATCGGGGATGGAGGACAAATTTTATCCCCAGTGGGGATCAGGGACGGGAACGGGGAATATGATCCCTGTCGTGCTGCCATTCCTAATCAGAGTTCATCCTCCAACTTGATGGCAGCTGTAGAAGCTGTGATGGTCACCCAAGGGTGGCTGGAATAGGGGAAGTCATTTTTAATGGCAACGGGGATCTGGATTGGTCTTTTAGTGGGCCAGTTGGAGACACCAATGCAGAAGAAGCTGAAGTGAGAGCCTTACTGACTGGGTTGAGAGCTCTTACTTCCCTCAACATTTCTTCAATCATGGTGGAATGAGATTCAAAGATTGTAATCAGCTGGGTGAAAGATTCATATGAAGGGCATGGAGGGTCAGCTTTTTCTTTAATGAAATCAGAGAGATCATAGACTCTATTAGATGCTTTTCAGATGGATGAGTTCTTAACTGTATAGCTGGTGGCTTGGCTAAATCTGGGGTGCAAAGGGATTATTTGTACAGTGGGAATACTCCACCATTGTAACTTCTGGAGGGTTTCTTTTTGGTGCTTTTTGGCTTCATTAATTGCACATCCCCTCGTGTACATCTTCCCCTCTCTTTTTGTTCATTGGAAGTTGCATTTTCTCAACACACGCACAGAGGGAGAGGGAGAGGGAGAGGGAGAGGGAGAGAGAGAGAGAGAGAGAGAGATAGAGATCCACCCACACTTGCATATTTTAAGGTTAATTGCATTTTGTATTTGTTTAGTTGACTTCCATAACTAGGAGGACAAAATTGTAACACGAATTAGGGGACCTTCTGTAATTGATCTTTAGTTTCATAGGTAGCAAGAAAAATGTAATTTAAGGTATACTATAGGAAAGACAATGAAATTTGCCCAATTAAAAATAAAGTCACTTGTTTTCTACAATTAAGAATTGTTCTGCAATTAAATGAAATTGGTGTTTTATCTAAAGCTTCCTCTTTTGGGAGGATTTTCTAATTTCACATCCATCCAATATGCAGTTATCATGACAACCACATTCTGATTTTCTTTCATGAGATGCTTTGATGGCAGGGTGCAAAGTAGATAAATACAGTCACAAGAACTAGCAATATGAAACAAAACATATATTTTTTTAAGTGTCAATGGAAATACTATTGATTTTGCTAAAATGATATTGAAACGTTTAAACTACTATGGCAATTAAAGCAAAAAGTATTTAAAATTGTTCTCCATTTTCTTTTGCTATTGCCTTTTTATCTGTTTGTCTGATTGCAAGTTATATTGGCAGTAGATTGTTGGGTTTAGAAAATATACCAATATAGTTGTGTGTTTTTGTTTTCCATTTTATGGGTCCTTTTCACATGCTTTATGACATTCTGAGTTGTAAGTTTTTTATTGAATGAGTAGGAATTCTTCAGATGCCTTGCTATATGTCATACTGTGCTTCCAGAAGGCGATGAATCTCCAGAAAAAATTACTTATCAGGCTGCATCCCCAGATGAAGCTGCTTTAGTTATTGCAGCCAAGAACTTTGGTTTCTTCTTTTATAGGTTTCTCCTTCTCTTATGCCATTTTTTATTTCAGTTGGTATTGGAGAATGGTCATGTTTTCAGCTTCTATTATTTGGGATTCTTTAATTGTTTGTTTACTTAACATGAATGGGCAGTATCTCTAGAATAGTATGCAATTTTATATGGGCAGTTTCTCTAGAATGGTATGCAATTTTGTTTGGGTATATATTAAGTCCTTCATTGGTTACTTCCTGACCATTGGCCATTGTTTTAGGCGTACACCCACAATGATCATGGTCCGTGAGTCACACGTAGAGAAGATGGGTAATATTCAAGATGTCTCTTATGAGATTCTAAATGTTTTGGAGTTCAACAGGTGGGTCATATTGTCCTTCTACTCACTTCTTTGCATTTTGACTTGATACTTTCTTTCAGTATTGAAAATGATGTTTTTTTCTTTTGCCATGTAAATAGTGTAAGGAAGCGTCAATCCGTCATCTGCCGTTATCCAGATGGAAGGCTTGTTTTATACTGCAAGGTGGAACTTTGAGGATTTTATTAGGATTAACATGGTCATATTCAAAATTTGACATGAAATTTAAAAATACCAAATAATATATTGCAGGGTGCTGATTCTGTCATATATGAAAGATTGGCAAATGAAAATAATCAGATAAAGAACTTAACTAGGGAGCACTTAGAACAGTTTGGGGCAGCTGGTTTACGCACACTTTGCCTTGCCTATAGGCATTTGAGTAACGACCTGTATGAAAGCTGGAATGAGAAATTCATCCAAGCAAAATCTTCATTACGAGACCGTGAGAAGAAGTTGGATGAGGTATGTTCCCTTTGAAGATACATTACCAAGCTTTAAAAAAAATGTTCTTTGAAGGTATGTACTTGTAGAACTTCTCATCAAAATTATTTCAATTAGAAATTTGTATTAAAATTCTAGTTATTTACTTTTGTGCATTCTTTATCTGAACTTATCATGTTTCTAAACCTGTATGGCTATACTTTTCCCTGACATATTTTCTTTTTCCTTTTAGGAGGAAGGAAAAGTAACAAAATAATTTATTGAACATGAAGTTTATTGTGCAGATAAAAGGAAATACTGCAAAAAGTGTAGCTGGTAGAGTTGCAAACAGGCTTGACTGGCCCAGTGGGATTTAAGGCCTAGCCTGCCATGATATTGAGCTTGTTGACCTGGTCTGGCCCATTTATAGAAGCCTGCTTATTAGTTAGGTCGGACCTGGGATATGAGGATTGCTGCCTGCTGGCCCATTGGGATTACATGAACATCTCTATATTTTTTTGAAAGAGGGTAAAGTATGGTAATTGTATTAAAGAAATAACAAAAGTCATGTACAGCAAGTTTCAGTACCCCAGGCTTTACAAAAGCTGCTCCTGCAGCACTATATCTCCATCCCCTGTTTTACAAAAAGATTTCAATATACAAAAAAGGATTCACAATTCCACAGAAACATCTTCCTCAAAGCCTTGTGAAATGTAGAGTCGGCAGAATTGCTTTGGCCTTTAAAAATCCTTGCATTCCTCTTCTGCCATAGGCACCAAAAGACCACAGCAGGGACCAAGTTCCAGACTAACTTTCCCCTTTTTGACAGCCCTTCTACCCTCCGACTCTTCACAAATTCCACTACTGAACCCGGGAAGCACCCCTTCGCCCAACTAAAGTCATACATAATTAGTATATCATCATCATCCATGCCTTATCCCAACTATTTGGAGTTGGCTACATGAATCCTGTTTCGTCAATCTTTCCTATTTTAAGTGAGCATGGAAAGACAAATCAGGATCCATATCATGAGAGTTTGGCAAAAGTTTTAGTGCTCTCTGCCAACCCGTTACCTGTCACACCCTCCTCCTTTATCCGGGCTTGGGACTGGCAGTGTAAGGCAAGCTCACACTGGTGGAGTTATACATAATTAGTATATGCATTATATATTTATATGTATATAATACATGTAATATTAGTGGTACAGAGAATAACATAAGCATCAATGCTACTTAGACTATCTAGATAAGTTAGGAAACCAAAAGAAAAATGGCAATAGGTTCCTAATTTAGTAAGGAAATAAATCATAATAAAATAAAACTACCCAAATATAATGTTTTACAAGAGAACAGTATGTAAAAGAATTGTAATAAATAAAAAAGAAACAAATCAAATATTTCAATAAAAAATTAAACAGAAAAGAAAAAGAATCAATGTGCCAAAGGACTGAGCTCTACTTGGCCCCCCTATTCTTGGTCTGCCCTCAATTGGTCCTCTATTAATGGGCTGGCCTGCCGCCTGCCATAGGTCCAGGTCCATTTCATTATAAGTGGACTAGGTTGGGCTTGTGCTAAACCTTTAAGGTTGTTGGCCAAAGTGGGCCTGAGCTCTGTCCAGCCTGTTTGCAACCCTAATGACTAGGTACAGAAAGTGTAAGCTATTTAATGACACATACAACAGCTTCACCAAACCCCCTCCCCATGAGGACTAAGATCCAATCTAAACCAACAGATTGATATCCATATAGAACAAATGGGTTGGGTGACAATTCTTCCTTGAAAGGTTCTTCAGTTTCTCTCCTTGCAAATATCCCAACAGACTGCAAATGGGATCACTTTCAGCAAATTCAGGGCCGGTAGTTACCCACCAGCCCAATCCTATTTTCAAACAGATCATTAATGTTGCTTGGGTTAAACCATTCCTTTATGAATAAGGAGAAGAAAAATCCCCAAGTATTGGCACTACCACAAAAAGATTAAGTAGCTTTCTTGTTATGGGGAATTGGCACTTAGGTTACTGATTATTTTCTCCTTTTGGGGATGGGATGGGTAATCAAGTTAATTGAGTGGGTACATATGATAAATCAGAAAATACCAACTCCTGAAAAGTGGGTACATGTGCTAAATCAGAGGGGGACTTCATGTATGAAGGGGGTGAGAAGGTGAATGGTTTCATTTGGTTAACTAGGATATGGTATGCAGACCTAAGATGGGTACAATATTTATGGTAATGCTTTTCTAGTATATTTTCCTTAGGTCAAATGATGTCATGGTGGATTGTATTAGAAATGGATGGTATCTTCTTAGAAGGGTAAGCAGGTGGTGGCTACATCTCAAAATGATAAGCATGTGGTTCCATCTGAGAGTAGGAAGATGAAACACGTGGAGATGGCAAGATGGACAACCAGATTGAATTGATAGCAAAGCAGGTTAAGAAGGGAAACAGGACTACTACCATGTTTAACAAGTCTGGTTGGGTAGAAATCAAGGAGTTTTGTAATAGGACCAAAAATGAATATACAGACCTTCAATTCAAGAACAAGTTCAGCAAGTTGAGGACAATATATAGGGATTTCAAATCGTTACTGAACAAAACAGGATTTGTGTTTGATTATACAACAAGGATTATTCTGTAGATGATGAGTTCTGGGAGGCATACACAAGGGTAAGTTAATTATATACCGAGCGGTATCCATTTAGATATGCATATAAATAGTAAAGTTGTATAATGAAGGTGCCAACACAAAATTTTAATGTCTATAGAAGGTTAATGTAATTGACATGGTTCTATGTATTTCTCATTTGAAGAATTGGTCTAAGAAAATAGGGTGATGCCAAACATGATTCTGATTCTGATTTTCATTCTGATAAATAGGAATCAGACAAATGTGCCAAACACATCTACTCTAGATGAGAATTCTCAAAATCCATTCTTTTCTATGGGCTATCACCCACAGCCTATTCATTTGTTACATCTCTCTCTCCACAATATCTATTCCTAAGTTCATGCAGGAGACCTTATCTAATCCTGGTTGGAGGACATTATGGAAGAAGATATGTTAGCTTTACATCAGAATTGTACTTGGGAATTGGTTCCACTTCCAGGTGGTAAGAAAACTGTCAGTTGTAGGTGGGTCTTTACTATGAAGTTCATGCCTGATGGGACAATTGAGAAGCTCAAGGCCAAGGGTTTCACTCAAACCTATGGCATTGATTTTGATGAAACCTTTTCACCGGTTGCCAAGATTACATCAGTGTAGGTAATTACATCCTTGGTTATTCATCATTGACCATTGTATCAACTTGATTTTAAAAATGCCTTCCATCATGGTGACCTTGTTGAAGAAGTGTATATGGAGCAACCACTTGGGTTTGTTTCTAAAGGGGAGTGTTGGGGAATGGTTTGTAAGCTAATGGATTGAAACAATCACCTCAGGCTTGGTTTGGTAAGTTTAGTGATGTAGTTATTGAATTTGGTTTGCATAAATGTCAAGCTGATTATTCAGTGTTTAGTAAGACTTCAGATGCAAGTTGTATTATTCTTGTGGTTTATGTGGATGATATTGTGATAGAAGGGAATGACTCATAAGGGATTAACAAGTTGAAGATGTTTCTGCAAGAGAGATTCCACACCAAGGATCTGGGCAAACTTCAGTGTTTCCTTGGGACAGAGGTTATGAGAACAGCCACAAAGATCTCATTGTCACAATGTAAGTATACTTAGGATTTTCTTGAGGAGACAGGTATGTTGGAATGCAACATACCTATCAATATAGATCAAGGGGAATTTGTTGATGATCCTAGTCAATATAGAAGGCTAGTTGGGAAACTCAACTATTTGACCATCACACATCCAGATATCTCTTTTGTTGTTGGAATTGTCAATCAATTCATGAGCTCTCCTCGTATTCCTTACCTTGAGGTGGTTTTCAAAATTCTTTGGTAGTCTTGAGGCATCATTGGGCACGAGAGTAGATAGAGAGTAGAGATCAGGGACATTTGAGTATATCGGGTTTTATAGATGCAGATTCGGATGGATCACCTACGTATAGGAGATCTACCACAGGATATTTTACCTTCTTAGGTGGAAATCTGATTTCTTGGATAAGTAAGAAACATAGTGTGGTGGAAAGGTCTAGTGCTGAAGCTGAATACCGAGCTATGAGTCAAGCAACAAGGAAGTTAATGTGGCTCAAGAATCTTCTTAAAAAAATAGGGATTCCTAAAACTTGTCATGCACCTGCATTGTGATAACCAGACAGCCATTCATATTGCCTTGAATCTGGTATTTAATGAGAGGACAGACCACATTGAAGTAGAGTGTCATTTTGTAAGGGAGAAGGTTCAAGTTGGTGATATTGATACTCCATTTGTGAAGATTGGAGACCAACTAGCAGATTTGTGGACTAAAGCTTTACATTGCCCACAAATTGACTTGATCTCAAGCAAGTTGAGTCTATATGGCATATACACTCCAGCTTGAGGGGGAGTCTTGAGAGAGTTGTTTTATGTGAAGTCTTGAGAAGCAAGTTAATCTAGTAATTTCCAGAAGAAAATAAGGGTGATCCAGTCCTAAAATTATTATAAACAGGGGCGCTATTGTACTTCTACTTATTTTTCATTAATATATATATATTATATATATATATATGCTGGGCCGACTTTCTTAGAGAGATTAGACTCTAATCTTCTCTTTTAAGAGAGGTTTGGATGTTTCTCTTAACGCTAATCTATCTTTCTCTTCTCCCTCTCTTCTCTTTCTTCTTCCTAATTTGAATACTAATACAACTCTGTTACAAAATAACTAGACTCTTTAGTGAAGAGCAATGTTCTAAAAATCATAATTGTATCATAAATCGTACAGAAAATTGAATTGAATTGAATCGTGAATCATATTGTAAATCATAAAATTATTTCTATTTTTTACAAACTTATAAAAAAAATAAATATGGATATACTAAAATAATCAATATATTTAGGAAAGTGATTTTACCCTATTTTTAATCCATATCTACCATATATGTACCTAAAACAATAGAATTTTCCACTTGTGCAATAGAAGCCTAAGATGTTATAATTAAGTTTGACTTGTAAGTCAAGTAATTCACATACAATGGTTCTTTAACCTACATATGATAGAAAATAAACTCAATGTCTGGTCTTAAATAACATGAATAAATAATTTTCCAGTAAGGGCTTTAAAACAAGTCTCCTTTGATAAAACTAACTATAAACAATAACTACAAAGTAGAGAACTATTTTTTTTTGGTTAATCACCATTAATAACTTCCCCTTTACCCCTTTGCCCCAAAGTGCTGGTTGCGGGATTTGATTCCGCATCAATTCTGGAACAAACCAGCTAACACACCAAGCCCTCAGTTGGTTAAGTAGAGAACTAATTCTTAATTGAACTTTTTTTAATTGTAGTGAAACATTGGAATCATATAAATTGTAAGATTTATGAATCAAATCATAGGATCCAAACAAAAATTGTACAATTTTTATAGAAAAGGCTTGAGACATAAGATTCAAATCGAAACCCTTGGGATCGTAAATCATAAGATTTTGACAACATTGGCAAAGATACCCCCCATGGAAACTTTGTCATCTAGGTGTCCAACTAGGCGTCACTTTGACAATTATGGTTCATTACATGGTTCAAAATTCTAAATCCTACTTCAACTTTTCATTTCAGTAATACTCATCAAGTCTTTTTCATAAGAACTCTTAATTATAAGATGTCATCAAAGTGCCTTTAGAGTCTGCTAGTTTTGGTCTCATCTTCAGAATTACTCCCCTCCCCCTCCCTCCAGTTAGTAATACCTTAATTTCCATTTAACATAAGTCTGCTGCAGGTGGCTGAACTTATAGAGAAGGAGCTTATTTTGATTGGTTGTACTGCCATAGAAGACAAGCTCCAAGATGGAGTGCCATCTTGTATTGAGACACTTTCTAAAGCTGGAATCAAGATTTGGGTGCTAACAGGGGACAAGATGGAAACAGCAATAAATATAGCCTATGGTGAAATTTGAATACTTTATTTATTTCTTATGTTACTTCCCAATCCACTCTATCAAGTATTTGAAGCCTGGGCTCCATTTCTTTTATGCTGCAGCATGTAGTTTGATCAACAATGACATGAAGCAGTTCATCATCAGTTCAGAGACTGATGCAATTAGAGAAGTTGAAGACAAGGTAAGAAACATTTGTAAGTTGAGACTTGTTCTTGCATATGTTTGAATGAGATCCTTAACCTTTGTAAACTTATGCTAGAATGACCCAGTGGAGACAGCCCGCTTTATCAAAGAGACAGTCAAACAAGAGCTAGGAAAATGTCTTGAGGAAGCACAACAGTATCTACATGCAGTATCTGGACCCAAAATGGCACTTATAATTGACGGGAAGTGTCTAATGTTTGCATTGGATCCAACTTTACGTGGAAGTTTGCTTAACCTGAGCTTGAATTGTAGTTCAGTGGTGTGCTGCCGTGTTTCTCCATTGCAGAAAGCACAGGTATCTTCTTTTGGACTTTGACTCGCCTGAAATATTGTCTTCAAACAATTCCAAGAGCTGTTCATGACATTTAGATCAACTGGTAAGGAAACATTTGTCTATTCATTCCATGTTATATGAAGCCCATAGTTTCTTATTTTTCACAAGTGTGTTATTATAAACTTAATCCTGCTGGACTTCATTTAGGTGTGGAAGCTTTTCCAAGCAAATTCTCATGTGTCTGAAGTTGTACCATGATTTCCTTTAGTCAAATATTTGGAGTGGTTGCTTAATATTTCCACATTTTGTTGCTTTCCACATACACTTGTGTGCACACACAAATACACACAATCAACATAAAGTTAAAGCGTGACAATTTTTCAGCCATGTGGACTCATGGCTGAATCAACCTACCCGGTCTGGGTCTTCATTTTGAGTTACAGGGCCAGGACTGGTTCTACCTGTACCTGTTCTGGTCCAATTAAGACTCGGACCCATTATATAAATATATATTATTAGTACATGACAAGGATCCCAATATTTTATCATCTCACGACTCACCTCTACTAACTTCATATAAGATGTAAAATTATCATATTTAGGGGATATGCAAGACATTTTGAGAAGAGAGAGCAAGAGAGTTAGCAGACTTTATCAAGTATAATCAAGTCTTTTCATGTCTCAGGGGCTGGCTCTTTGTATTTTTTTTTATCAAGTCAGGGCAAAGACTACCCTAACCTGGTCCAGACCCAATCCATTGACAGCCTAATGGAGTGCTGACATGGTAGATCCACGGAACCCATTTGATTAGGGGCCCCTTGGTTTTCTTTACTTGTTATAAATAACTAGGATGAAAGAATGGCTCTTTCATTGGCAACAGCTACTACCCATTTGGGGTGCCACCTCCATTGTCACATGTCAATACCATGTAGAAGCAACAAACAAAATCTGAATCCTAAGATGGAAAAAATTTTGAAATGTTATGATTTCTTTCTTAGGAAATTGTGCCCAACGTCCACTAATTAAACCAACTTTAAAGTATCACTTATGGTTTGAAGAAATGTGTATGCCATTTTATTTTATGCAAGTTGATATAAAGAAGAAAAACTTCTTACTGTTTTCCAGGTGACTAGCATGGTCAGGAAAGGTGCAAACAAAATAACACTTGGCATTGGGGATGGTGCCAATGATGTGAGCATGATTCAAGCTGCTCATGTTGGCATTGGAATAAGTGGGTTAGAGGGAATGCAAGCTGTCATGGCTAGTGATTTTGCAATAGCTCAGTTTCGTTACCTCACAGACTTGCTTCTTGTGCATGGCCGTTGGTCATATCTTAGAATTTGCAAGGTTTAATTTCTTTATGTATTTGTGAGTCAAAAAGTTATCTCATGATACTTCTATTGGCTTAACTACTTCCAATTTTTTGATTTCAGGTTGTGACATACTTTTTCTACAAAAACCTTACATTCACTTTAACTCAGTTTTGGTTCACCTTCCATACTGGGTTTTCTGGTCAGAGATTCTATGATGATTGGTTCCAGTCTTTGTATAATGTTATTTTTACAGCTTTGCCAGTGATCATGGTTGGACTTTTTGACAAGGTACAACAATTACTTTCAATCTTTAAGTGTTTCTGTAAAAACCACTACAGTCTGGTTTGTATTAAGATTGATCCTCAACATGCAGTATAACTGGAAAATTATCACTTCCGCAACATATATTTCCTAATTTAACCATCTATCTTCTCTTAAAAGTTAAATGAAAATTTGCTGGGATTAATTCAAGGTTACACTTTGCCAGGACGTCAGTGCATCACTTTCTAAGAAGTACCCTGAGCTATACAAGGAGGGAATAAGAAATTCCTTCTTCAAATGGAGGATAGTAGGGGTCTGGGCTTTCTTCGCTGTGTACCAGTCATTAGTCTTCTATCACTTTGTGACTACTTCAAGTTGCAATGGCCACAATTCTTCAGGCAAGATATTTGGCCTATGGGATGTCAGCACCATGACCTTTACTTGTATTGTGGTTACTGTTAACTTACGTCTTCTTATGGCCTGTAATTCAATCACAAGGTGGCACTACATGAGTATTGGAGGCAGCATTTTAGCATGGTTTATTTTCATATTTATTTATTCTGGAATTATGACACCATATGATAGGCATGTAAGTCCTCTTCAATATATTTTGCTCCCTTATTTAATTTTTCTCTTTCTCTCCCCAGTTCTAAACTAATGCATGTGCTAACTTGCTTCATTGTTTTTCATTTCATACAGGAGAACGTATTTTTTGTCATTTATGTCTTAATGAGTACATTTTATTTCTTTCTCACACTTCTCCTTGTTCCCGTTGTTGCACTTCTTGGGGACTTCCTGTACCAAGGGTAAGATTTAGAATAAAATCCTTCCTGAATCATTTAGCATTTTATTTCTTTTGTAGTGATGTTAAAAAATTGAAGTAAATGAAAGGAAAATTAATTTAGGTATTGATATGTTTAATGTTTAATACCTATTTTATATTTTGATTTCCTTTATATCTCTCCATAACTTAAGGTGCATGTCCGCGTCTGCTACTAGCTATGATTGATTCTCTGTTTTCCCTGTTTACAAGGCACTTTGATTTGCATATGTAGTGTCTTGGAGAGTTGGAGTTGGGGCTACCCCAAGACCTGTAATTTGGTCTGGAACCTTGGTCATTTGGTGCATGTTTATCATGTAATGATGCACAACTAAGCGAGTCCCATCTTAAGAGATTACCCATGTTGTTGTTCTTTAAAGACATTTTTCCACTCCAGTAACCATACAAATACAGTGAAACTTTGTTGCCTTGGTCTCTTAAGAATGTGTGTGTGTGTTTGGGTGAACATATTTCTTAGGTGAATTATTCCTCTAAAAGTACAGTACATGGTCAGTTGTAGGGGTGGCTCCAAGTCTCCAACCAACCAACTGAAGCTGCTTAAATTAAAAGAAGAAGAAGAAGAATCTCTTAGCCACTTTTCCAGAGAGATCTGAAAAGGATCTACAGCTAGAGAAAGAGATGCTCGTAATCTCATGCATGTAGCAAACTCAATGGGAATGGGTACCTACAACCCAACCCATTTAAATGTTTCAAATGGGTGATCCAATCAGTAAATAAATGGACTAAGTGGATGGATTGGATGGGTCGAATAAGTTGAGCCAGAAATTGCCACTCCTATTTGGCGAGTTATTGGAGCCCTAATCCCCTGTAGGGGCTGTTTAGCCCTTACTAAGATATTACCTATATTATTAGGTCTAATGAGGGCATTTCTGCATAATGTCATTCTTACTTGCCATTACATTTTATGGGACTTCAAATTGATTATCACCTTCATGGATACCAGGCTTTTGAGCTTCATTCTTGTTGGTGGCAACTCACCTCTTTTACTTCTATAAAACTCTGCTCCATAAAGAATATTGTAGACATTTTCATGATTAGAGTTTAGTGTGTTATCATATAAGTGAGGCATCTATTGCTGAATTTTCCAATACCTTGCTGCTCATCTTTTTAACATCTTGATCTGGTTTCAGAGTTCAAAGATGGTTCTTCCCCTATGACTATCAGATTATACAAGAAATGCACCGAGATGACCCTGAAGACACCAGCAGGGAAGTGCTATTAGAAGTTGGAAGCCACTTGACAGCAGACGAGGAAAGGAGCTATGCGATCTCTCAACTCCCAAGAGAGACATCGAAGCACACTGGTTTTGCTTTTGACTCGCCAGGCTATGAGTCGTTCTTTGCTTCACAACAGGGCGTTTATGCCCCACAGAAGCCCTGGGATGTGGCCCGAAGAGCCAGTATGAGATCACAATCGAGGACACCAAGAACAAATTGAATTATGAGAAAGAATTTTGTACATTTTTTGACATTTAACCTCAAAAAATATTGTAAAATAGCTGTGCCATATCCTGGTTTCGATTCTTTACCCATTTTTTTCTTCCTCCACCATACGAGCCGTTGAGGACTTAAAAGTGTTTTTAGGAGTAGTCGTTCACAGTGGTTGTCAGTGTCACATGGTCCGACTAATACAGGGAAAATCTATGCTCTGCTGGAAAGACATGACCGAAAAAACCACCTGAGGTTACCATTTGTGTGATATTGATTCACTTCTTACAAGTGGAATCCTTATTTATGACATCATCCATTGACACATTTGATCCAAATGGATTCAACCACTGACCCACCATCTGGATGAAAAAGTGGTTTCATTTCTAGGATAATTTTAAAATCATATATCCAATAATTCAAACAATGAAATGTCTTGAAAGCCTTAATGTTGGATTTGCCTATTTTGAGTTAAGGAAACAAAAATTAGATTTGATTTGTTATTAAAGGTTATACGATAATTTTCTATCTTAAATTAGAAAACAACACAATGTGGGGGTTATAATGGGGCGTACCACAACCTATATAATTTCTTAAATTAAAATTTGTTTACCTAGAGGCTGGCTGCAAGCTACAAGTTCTAAGGAAAAGCCATCTTATTTGAGGGCTATTTAATGACCATCCTATACCAATGTTGTAAAGCCCGACCTCAACTAACTCTCTCTCTCTCTCAACAGGTCGGTGATTCAACCGTCGAGTTAAGAGAACATATTGGCTATGACTTTCCACAGTGTGTTTCACAGCACATTCAAAAGAAATGCTCCCAATACATGTTGGATGTGTTGTAGGGTGTATTCTTTCGGAGCCAATACGAACATCTAAGTTAATGGGTCAATTTGTAATCTCATCATTATAAATAAAATAATATGACTCAACCATGCAAGTCGATGAGAGCCAACGATTTTTTGCAATATAGCATGTTAAAGGTTAAACCATACCAGGATTATGACCAGGCCACTGGTTCTAATGACGGGGTCACCAATGGGTCGAAACACGCTGACCCATACTGACTAGGGACCAATTATTGATTGGTTAGTGTTATTGTCACTTGAGCCTGGATCTGCTGCTCGCACCATTGTCTATGACTTACTATGGGGATGTTTGGAACCGTGGCTGTTTTTCTGAAAAATGGTGTCGCATTAGATTCACATAGGCGTTTCAACAAATGCCCATATATATGATTGTTTAGTTCACACATTTTTTGAAAAATTGTTTGAACCATGGGCATGCCTCGTAAATTGGAACCCCAGGTAAGCATGAAATGTCAATTTTGGTGTTTCATGCATTGGTGAACCCTTGTCCCAATGGTTGACTGATTGGCGATTACATGTATCCTATGTGATGCTTACCTGTCAGCACATACATGAAAAACAGTGATGAAAACCACCTAACCAAACAGTATAGTATTGTTCACTGCCTACGTGACAAAAACACTCCCAAAAAAATCAAAGCGTTTTTTTTTTTTTTTTGTGAAAAACAGGTCTTAGAAGCATCGACATTTTTTCTCGAAAATCAGTCCCAAAAAATGCCTACACTTCCAAACACACAAATGAACATTACAGGCCAAATGGACCGATCATTGGCATGTTCACTCATGATTGATCATATAGCAAGTGATACACAGCGTGCGAGCAGCAGATCCTGAATGTTTTTCTCGAGTCTCCACTCATCCACTGTACTCTTCTCTTGCACTTGCACATGCATATAGCCATATACAATTGAATCTCAGATACACATGCCATTCAACTAAATCTCATATAGGGGTGTAATTTGGGTGGACTCGTGTTGGGGTTTCAAAAAAATTTGAAATTTTGAATGGGCCCAACTTGGAAATTTGTGGCTGATGTAGTGTAAAATTTTAAAATCAGGTACTTGATTTGCACAACTAAATCTCATTTGTAAGGCAAATCTGGGTACAGAGAAATAGAGAAAAAATGTAAATCAATGATAAAAGAGACGTCACAGTTAATGTACAATCACTCTTCTTGAAATGTGAATCAATAAAAAAAAGACAAATTTTTTAAATTATTTTATAGTTTAGCTAATTAACTAACTCTATCCTTATTATTTACATAATGTCTTGAAGTATTCTTAAGTTTTTTGACAATTGTCTAAAGCTTCTTTGTCATTAACTTAGTTAACAAAAAGATGAAAAAGACTTTCAGAACTATCAGTAAAGATGATGTCATGCTATCTCTTTCATGCTACTTGGAGATTCTGCTACCTCCCCTCTCCTGTCTATTAGGTGAAAAAAAGGATGTTTCAGAGCTGGCAACTGAAGCTCTTATAAATCTTTCACAAATTTCAGAATTATCAGCAAAGATGGTTACAATTAGGGGTCCATATTCAAATATCCAATTTTGAATTTAAGATTTGACATAATCAAATTGAATTTAAATAATTCAAATATCTAATCAGTTGAATCTGAATATCCTATTAATATCAAATAGTTAATCGGATTCGAATTCGGATGTGACCTAATTCAATTTGATAAATATCCAAATTCAACCAATTATTTAATTCTTATATATAATATATAAAATATTTAACCATTTTAAATAATTTATATATTTATATATTTTATATAAATAAAATATTTATTTTATACAGCTATTAATTACCTAAAATAATTAACTGGTCGATCGAATTCGAATAGAATCAAATATTTGAATATTTAATTAAATTCGAATTTAAACATTAATTTTCAATATCTGTCAGATATTAAATCAAATTTAGATATAAAATTTTTTAATCATATTCAAATTCAGATATTACCTAATTCGAATTTAAACATTAATTGCGATGGAAATTATTATAACAGCTATGGATTTGTTATATAAATAAGATTGCAGCATTGCTCAATTGTTGATTGTGATTCTAATTAATCTTACACAGTCGGATGCGGGTATTGCATCTTTGCTTCAAACTGGAGATGACAAAATACAAGGATCATATGTTATGAAGCTGGTGAGATCATTTTGTTCTTCGTCAAGCGAAATGAGAGAAGATCCCTTTGAACATGTTGCTTCCATACTTGTGAACATCTCAGTAGCGAACAGGACACAAAAAATGCCACTTAAGCTTGGAGTGCATGTAGATCCAGAACTCAAGGTCCAAGCACTAGAAGCTATTTATTTGATTGATTTGCATGAGGCAGGTCGACGAAATCTATGGCCTGTGAATGGTCTACGTATACTACAAGTTGGGTATGAAGATGAGGAGGACACTAAAGTAATGGAAGCATATGAGCAAAAAGTGTCTCCTTGTTTGTTCAAGTAGCGAGATTGAGAAAACACCTGCTTAGACGTCGAAGTAATAGCATTATGGTTGTTCAATAAATTAAGATTTTAAGAACTTTTAGAGAATGGATCTTCGCTGGGATTCTTCTTGTAACATGGTGTTTGAAGAAGGGATCTTCGTCAGTGAAGGAGATGGAGGCGATGAGGGGGATGGTGCTCAACCCAACCCCAATCTTAAATTGTTTTGGGATCTACACTGGTAATAGAGATAGAAACAAAGATGGAGATGGTGTGGACTTAGATGAAAGGGTATTTTAGAATTTTTTTGAAAAATATATCAATCATGTGAAGTCATATATGACGGAAAGTTAACTGTAAGGGAGATTTTAGATAATTATTAAAAAACTTAGGGGTATTCTAAGACAATGTATAAATAGAAAGGGTAAATTAGCTAAATCATAATGGTATTTTAAGAAATTTGCCCTAAAAAGATATTTCACAATTACATATTTACTGTGATTAATTATTTTTTTATTTATCATGTAACTCGTATATAATTGGCCTTCATTTGTAAACTAAATTTTATAAATTGTTTAAAAATATTAAAACCATAAAAATTAAAATTATTTGACAATAATAATCTATAGGGTTTTTATTGTTTAGTCCACCCATAGACTTTAGTACAGTTGAAATAGAAACATGTAATGAAATGAATCAAAATTCAACGGGGTAGTGAATGAAAGGTGGATTTGTTGGTAATTAAAACCCAAAAACCTAATAAAAAATTGTTGAGTGTAGAACTCTAAATTTATATCTATTTATCTATAATATTAGGAAAAATTATAGTTAGAGTCGGGTTGTATATTTAAATTTATACATTTCAAATTATAAAAACCCATGCCATATCATCGAAGGTTTATGTGGTTGTTGCCAAACATGGGACTCTTAAGTCATGTTGGACACAACAAAAAATTTATACCAAAATCAAAACATCTCTTGATCCCTCTACCTCCCTATCTCCCGCTCCCTTTGTCTCTCCTACTCCCTTTGCCTTTTGATATCCTACTCCTTTTGTCTCTCCCACTCCCCCTGCCTCTCGATCTCTTGTTCCCTCTGCCTCTCGATCTCCCTCCCACTCTCTCACTCTCACCTCGATCTCCCACTCTCTCAGCTTTGATCTGCAACCAAATCAAAATCTCTCTCTCTCTAGATAGATAGATTGATAGATGGATCTCTCATTCTTCCCCAATCTCTATTGTTTTCCCTCAGTCTTTCTCTTGCTCCCTCCTTCATTTTTTTAATTTTTCATAGAAATTTATAATCAAAGTGTATAAGTTATAAGTTAGTTAAGGGACTAACAACTTGTACAATCAAATTATGAATTTCTAACAAGTTGGTGTAAATATCATAGTCAAGGGTTTCTTGTGAATTTTTATCAAATTAGGCTATGGGAGTTAAAACCATACCAAGTTGGTCTTATGTTCTTTAATACAGTATGGTTAATATCGTATATAAGTGTGTAAGAAAAATAAAAAAATAACAAGAGAGGGAGCAAGAAAGAAGTTGAGAGAGAGAGAGAGATAAGGAGAGATCAACTAAAAAAGAAAATGAGAGAATAAACGGAAAATAGAATTAGAGAAATTGAGGAAGAATAATAGATTGACAAAGATGAAGAGAACAAGAGAGATTGACTAAGAGAATGTAAAACCCTTTTTTCTCAAATCAGAGAGTTGTTGAACAAGGAGAGAGAACTATCAAAGTGAGAGAATGGGAGGGAGATCAAAAAGAGTGGGAGAAAAAGTAAAAACCCTTTTTTTTTAACTTTCAAATAATTAATATTGGACACAACATGGATTAAACAACCACACAAGCCTCTAATGTCAAATTTAAAAGTTATTTTAAATGTTCAGCCCAGTTCGATATTGATGCCGGATACAATGGGGGTATTTGACATTTTGAATGTTTATAGATGTTCAGTGGAATTCAGAAATCTGCAATGGGCCTGTGCATAACATTTGCGAAGCGTTTTTAACTTCTTGATCCCTTCCGGTGTGAAATTGGAGGCTGGAGCTAAGTTCGGTCTGCTAATGATAATGGCGCTATCATCTCCTCTTCCCCCGTTTCTCTCTCCTTTCCTTAACGGCGACAATTGTTCTACTTCTCTTGTTCCACTCATCAAAGTCGCTTCTCCCAAGCCCATTTACCGACGACCGTCCACCATCGTGTCCTCTTACAGTAAAGTCTCCGTTTCTGTTCGCAAAGCTCCTCTAGTTCAGTTAAAGCCGCTGCAATTTACTAATGGAGGAACTTCCTTGTTTCAGATGCGAGGAATGGATTGGTGAGCGACGAGAAGAAAGAGCTACTGGAAAGATACGGTCTCGACCCCGACGAGTACCTACACAAAGAATCTCCAAAGGTTCGATTTGTTATGCCGCTTATTCCCTTTTCTCCTCCTCTTCAGTAATTGTTCTATATTCAATCTAGTTTTTATGGCTAAGATCATCTTTGGATTTCCTTGAAATTGGTTCTGCAGTCTTGGAGAAGAAGGGGAGCTGAGAGGACAGGGAAAGGAAAGCGAGTCCCACCCGAGGAATCTAAGCAACCTAGGACTACACATAAGTTGCTTCAGGTATGTTAATTCACTGTACTTGTGTTTTCTGGTTTCAGTTGTATTTGTTGCTTCTACTCAATCGATGAAATCAAAATGAGAAAGCTGAAAGTTGGGGCCTTGGGGGTTGGCATTTAACTACATTTATCTTTAAGTTTCTGAATTATTTTAGAAGATACCCTGCGGTTCCATATCTTGAGGGATTGATTGGTGTACTATCATGAGATAAATGTTTTGAAGATTCTTTTCACAATAACTATATCTCGTGTTAAAGTTAACTAAAAGCATCTCTGTTCTCCAATTAGGATGGCATGTCCCCTTAATTAGTTCTGCGTGTTTGAATTATGAAATTAATGATCACTTGTGAAATAAAAAAGATAGTCTACCATTCTTCGTCTTTTTCGTTGTTACCTGTTAGTTGTTACTAAATTCATTGATGTTTGTGATGCTTTTCAGTTGAATCTTGCAACATTGCATTAATTGTGAGGAACGTTCTTCCATCATACCCAGCCTAGCTTTAACATAGCTTAACTGCTTAATGTATACATAGGTTCTAGGAGGTAAGGCTCGAAGGAAGAAGTTGCTTTCACCTAAGGGTATGGATGTACGCCCAATGATGGAAGTTGTAAAAGGTGCAGCCTTTGATATTTTGCAGGTAAGGCTGGTATCTTATTCATACAATTGCATAAACATCTCCAAATTGTTAAAGGAATTCATGTTTAATTGATATTCTGGAGATAAAAATGAACAACTATCTACTCCATTCAAATCAGACCAGGGAATCTTCTAACTGGTTATTGTAATGTTATGGATAATTGTTTTGTTTCTTGTTTAGGTAGCTGGTGGTTGTCCCGCTTCTTTAAGGCCAGGTCGTTGGTTAGACTTGTATAGTGGTACTGGATCTGTTGGGATTGAAGCTATAAGCCGGGGATGTTCTGAGGTACCCTCTTCATGCTCATGTAGAATCATAAGTAGTTTTAGATCCTTCTAAATGTGTATTTTCCATACTTGAGTTACTTTAAAAAGTCCAAGGAAGAATTTAGAAGTTTATAAAAGATCTGCATGCTCAATATTACAATCTATGATGTTTTATCAAGTCAAGATCTGGATCAGGTCAACTTGTTAAATTATTTGGCTTCATATGAGATTGCAACTCACAAATAACCTGTGGCACATTTATACAGTGTTGCATGGACTCTCTTAAATGGATAACATGTCTATGTCAGATACACATTGAAGTCTGAAACTCCATAGATTCTTGAAGACATTTCTGCATAACATTTCCTTTTTATCTCTTAGCTTCTTACATGACATAAATGAACAGCTAATGTACAAGATGGAAGCCGTTTCTCTTATCAAATGTAAGGCAACATTTTTTTTACAAGTATATAATCTTGGAATTCAAAGTAGGAACTATTTTAATAGTATTTACTTTTCCATAGACATGTATGTAAGTCCATATTTTCTCATCTTATCCATACCAAGGCAGACTCTTCGACACACATCATATTACGACTCTCTGTCTGTGTCTATGCAACACTGCATTTATGGTAGTATGGTTGCTTTTTCTTGTCTTTTTCATATTCCTTTTATATCCATGATGAATTCTAAGATGCTTATATTATGAACTTTCAGGTGCACTTTGTTGAGATGGACCCTTGGGTTGTCTCCGAAGTCCTGAGACCAAATTTGGAATGGACTGGCTTCCTTGATGTTTCAGTTATACATGCAGTTCGTGTTGAAGATTTCTTGGAACGAGCTGAACAATTTGTAGGTATGCTTGTACTTCTTGAGAGGAAATAAAGATATCCTTTTTATTGCACTGAGAGGGTAGAGAAAGAATCAGTCTGCAATAAAAAGGAGAACCAATTATTAAGAAAATAAAGGGAAGAAGAAATTTATTCACAGTAGCCTACTAGCAGGCAAGTTTTGTTGTGATTTAGATTGTTTGTCAAGTTTTTTTTTTTTTTTTTTCTGAAAAATACTCAACTTGGTTCACGGTAAGTCTGGTCTGTACATCATCCAGAAGGAATAGAAAAGTAAGTTTTGATCCAGAGATTGAATTGCCTATTCTGTATTAGAGGCTTGTATACCTTTGTTCAACCTGAGAAGTTTGAGTCATGTCAGGTATCCCATATTTTCCACTTGCTATGACTATTGAACTTTAACGGTATATCATAACACTGGAACCAACAAACTGAAGGAAGGTTTCCAAGGAAAATGCAGATCATAGATATGTTGCCCCAGTTCTTCCAAAGATCGTTTATCAATTTCTGAGTATGACTCCCTTCAGGATAGACTTGCTGGTTTGAAGGACATATTTCGTGACAACAACCCCAATAATGTTAGGGAGTTCTTTACAGACCAGTAACCTCTATTTGATAGTGCGACCTCTTTTGTGTTGCCAAAGATATGGCATATATGAAGAAAATATCTGTAACTTGGATGCAAAAACAACATTTAATTGTAGAACCTTAGTAATATCTGATCTCTATAATGATTTTCACATAGTGAGGAAATGATCCAGCTTCTCATGCTTGACAGAATATTCATTTTTTCTGCAGGTAAAGATGGATCGTTTGATTATATTAGTGTTACACCTCCATATACTGCAGTAGATTACAGTATATTGATGGGTCAACTGTCAAGTTCAGTTTTAGTTGGGGAAGATTCCTTTGTAGTAAGCTCTGATTTTCATTTTGTTAGTACAACTTTCTAAGTATATACCTTTTTAAAGCTTATGTCACCTTCATTTTTTTCTGAACTTTTTTGGAGTTAGGTAGTGGAGTATCCCCTAAGAACTGTCATGCTGGATTCTTGTGGATGTCTCGTCAAGGTACCATACAAATCACTTTTTCAAAATTCGTATACATAAAATATATACATGCCATGACTGGTTAGGATTGCATCAAGTTGATAGCCGGCACTAAAACTTGCCAAACTCTCATGCTATTTTCATGCTAAGAATGGCAAAACAGGATTCATGTTGCCAACCCCATATAGTTGGGATAAGGCTTGCATGATGATGATGATGATGACCAGGAGGTGCATTTTAACTGTTTCTCTTTATTCAGCTGTATACATCTTGTCTGTCCTGGTCACCCATAATAATGTTTAATGCCATCTCCAAGAGGCACAAGCTATTGGTTATATATATATATATATGAAGATGAAAAACTCATACTCCAGATATCCTAATGCAAAATTTCTAGATTCTATATTCTCTTTATTTTCAAGTTTCATCCTTTCCTTTAAAAAGTAACATTCTTAGATTTCTATATCATTATTATAGTAGCTACTTTTTAATATATATCATTATTATGTTGGTATGAATTCCAATTAATAACATGTCCAAGGATCCTATCTTTCAATGTTTTTAACACTTTACTATTTCAATGCAACAAAATTCTTGTTTATGAGTTCTTTTAGGGTATAGATAGCAAGGTGCAATATTCTTAAATGTATGGTTTTGGATCAAATAGAGTTATGCTTGATGATTCAGCTATGTAAATTGAAGATAAAATGAATGGTACTAGTAAGTGACTTGGTGCAACTTGAAGGTTCTACAAAGAACAAATAAGCCCGGTCCAGTTAATGAGAAAAGGATTTTGCTGCCTAGCCATCTTGGTGAGACAAGGCAGATAATGATGATGTATTTGACAGTTGACGGTGCTCATCACTCTATCCTTACTTTTTTTCTAGATGTATCATGTAATACAGTATTATGCACAGAGACTGGAATTGTTTGTGAATCATGATTTATTAATTTATAAGGTCCAACCAGGCAACCAGGATGAACAAACCATGAAATTTTCTTTTTCTTTTTCCATTGTTAATTTATCAAAGGGTTAAAAATGATGATAGTAAACAAAAGAGAACAAAGATGAAAGGTCATATATCAACAATTTCACCATCTACTTCATAACAAGTCGTTATGGTTTGTAAAATTCCATTATTTAACATTTGAGTGTCCTTGTGTATTCAAAGTAAGTCATTCTATCAAGTTGTTGCAGATAGCTGATCGACGGTTTGGCCGGACACACTTGGCAATATATGGACCCAGGTGGGCACAAAAGAAGAGGAGATCAGAAAAGTCGGTGGGGAGTATAGCAGAAGGGTATTCACTGCATAAGGAAAGCATAATCTGACAGGGAATTAGTTTTCACAATGAATTGAACTCTCCAAATATACAGTTCAATTGTGACATCTACAACCTTGGGTTAAGTTGCAGCACATCAACCTAATCGTCTTGGTAACTTTCTTGTCTCATCATTTACTCAAATGAGTTTTAGTAATCTCAGTTTGTCGTTTCCTAGGTTTGACTGAGAATTGAGTGAATGTACTGCAGATCTCTCTGTTGGCACCTTAACATGGGTGGTTGGTAACTTGGTTTGCAAATATGAAGCTTGGAGTCTTGGGCTGCCACGGAAGTGGATTATGTGGACTGTGGAAGAAAAAAGATCTCAAAACCAGAGTTTAACTGTAAATCTTTCTTAAAACATAGCTTTCCTGTATGTTCTATATTTGGATACGCATTATTTGATGCCTATCAGACAACTTGGATACATACAGCCACATCTATCAGCAAAGATCCATATTAATGCAAATATAAGAAACCGGAAATCCATATTTACCTGAAAATCTATGATAGAGACATGGTTCCCAAATGCCCTATAGGTCCCAGAAATCCTCAGTATTGGACATGTGGTTTCTTTTTGATTAATGGAGATTTCATTCGAAGTTTCGAACCAATGAAAAGCTACAAACATAACAACAATCACAACAAATCCACCTCCCACCCAAAAAAAAAAAAAAAATCATGCAAGCTACGACAGCTATATAAAACAAGGCCTTCAATCAACCACTTTGAGGGGAGGCCAAAATGTCATCGGTGGTCGGTGCATATTGTACGTATCGTTTTTTCAGGATCACCAATGCAGAGTATTAAAATTTGGTAGGTTTTAAATGATAAGATATGATGTGTGACAAACATCAAAACCAAATTGCACTTCCCATTGGCACGAGAAAAAGAAACATTGATCTAATTTTGCAATTTCCTAAAGTCTTGGACAAAAGGTTGGATGTACAGGATTCGGTTTCATTGTTTTAAAAGGCTTTTTTTTTTGTTTTTGTAAAATTGTTTTAAAAGGTTTAAGCCTTGAGACAAGGCGCACAGATTTTGTCTCAGGCTTAAGTTTCATAACACTATGATGTGAGGCTTAAGTTTTTGTAAAAATGAGGTGTAAGCCTTAAAACAATTATTTAGTGATTTAAGGAATATATATATATATATATATATATATATATATGTATATATGTATGTATTTTTATAATTCAAAATATATAGAAGAAACGCTTTAATGATCATAGGCCAAATAAAAAGAGTAAAAATGAAAAAACAATAGATCAAATCAAGGTCTTTAGTTTCTCATGTGTTTTGAGAGTTTCATACCAAAATGGTCAATTAAGTTCTTAGTTTCTTTTGGATAAATCAAGTAAAATTTGTTTTTTTATTATTCTAAACTTAACATCCCAAGTATGCTATTTTTTTTCTTTCTAATGGATTAATTTTCTTTTTATTGATTTGTTTTGCATAAATCAAATTAACTAAGTTGTTTCCTTTTTCTAAACTATTGGATGATCATAAATCTAATATCAACTATATGGATGATTTTTTATATGTTTCTTTCTTATAAATTATTTATTTGAAATAATTTGAAAAATTTGCATTTTGAAATATGTAATGTAAAATGTTTATAATTGTTATTTCATTAGTTATTGTTTTATTTATTACTTAAATGTTTATTGTTTATAAATTTTTATTTTATGGGTATTTATACCTTCTATCATTCTAACTTGGTATATTATATGTTATTTAGGCTTTGTTTGTTTTTGGTGGAAAATTCATCAATGTAAAACTCAATCGATGGTTTTTATCGTTATACATCATTTACATCGATTATCAATGGAAAAGTCAGCAGATGGGAAGGTTTACATGATTTTTTATATAAACTTTACACTGAAAACCAACATATGAAAATGCGGACCAATGTGGAGTTTTACAAAGGGAGGTTGAAATTACATGATTCACACAATTTTACTCCTCAAAGACAAACAAACAAATAAAGTGAAACGTGAAACAAAAGTATATCAGAAATTACACTCAGCCCATTTACACTCAAATGCATTAATAATATTGGTGCAAATTTCGTTTGATTTGTAAAGAAACAAGGCTGAAGCCGATCCAAAATGGTTGAGATTACTAAGGTTTTTAAAATTGAACCGGACAATGAACCGATCAGGGATTCAGTTTCCAGGTCGAACAGTCTGATTGTTTGAACCGAACGAACGGCCCATTCTGACAAAAAATAAAAAATGGTCAAACTATTGAACAACTTGAATGATTCAACCACCCAGATCAGTGATTTACTGACCAAATCAACGGTTTTTGATGAAATAACGGTCTTGGGGTAAAACGGAACCGATCACCTGACCGGTTCCCAGTTTTCCTGCCCGGTTTTGAAAACCATGGAGATTACGGCCAAGGTTTTTTTTGTTTTTTTTTACGCATTAGACATTTATGCTAGGACCTACCATAAATGGCTCCTGTTTAATTTTGATTCCACATAGCAAGAACCATGTTTTATTTAAATTAATCAGTATTACATAAGAAGAAACAACAAATGTGTATAATAGTTGGGTATTGAGTCATAAGATAACCCCTCATCGGAGGGAGAAAGACAGAGCCAACGATCCTTACCTAGTGAGTCAGTCACTGGTAACAATTGTTGACTTTATTCAAGAGTAACATTAAATTACTAACTAAGCTTGGATTTTAATGTATTGATGATATCATCATCTACTTGGAACGCCTTAGTCAACACTTGATTGGGAATGGTGGGCCTTGTAGCAAAAAGAGTGCTGGAGAAGATAACAGCCCCGGGCAGCTGACTGTTGAAGGTTGTGAAAGCCAGGGCTTTTCCGTCGCCGACGTTGATCTGAAAGTGCATGAGCCCTCTGGGAATCACAAACATCTCTCCCTCTGTCAAGACCTTGGAGTAGAAAACATTTGCAGTAGTGACAAACCCAACAAGCAGCTTCCCCTTAATAACCACCCCAGCCTCGGTTGCGCGCGGATGAGAGTGAGGAGGATTGATTCCACCAGGCGCAAAGTCGACGCGGTTCATGGAAAGTCCGAGGGTGTTGAGCGCCGGGAAGGCGAGGACGTTGCCACCCGTCACGTTCACTCCGAAGCGGTTGTTTGTGTCTCCCTCCTGAGTGAAGCCACTAAAGAAGAAGTCGTCCGAACTGACCTCAGATGCAGGTTTGCAGGGGAACCCATTCAGAGATGGCTTTCCGTTCAAGTCTGCAACGCAGAAATCTTGCAGAGGATCAGAGTCGGCAGAAAGGCTAGGTGATGGCAGTAACACCACTACCATGAGGAAGAGAAACAGGTAGACGGGACATGTAGTTCTTGAAACGGCAAGAATAATGGTGGCCATGGTGTTTGTTGTCTTTTGTCAAGACTGATAGAGTTGTCCTGATCTTTGATCTTTGAGGGTGTCTTCACTCTTCACTCTCCAGCGATGGTGGATATGTATAGAGAGAGAATTTATCACCTAAATGGGGTTAGTTGGCTTTTGACAAAAGAAGCAGACTTTTAAAAATCCTTAACACCCACTTCTTGTGGAGTTACAGCCCCCCAAATAAAAAATTGGGGTTTTTTATTGTTCACCCTACTTCAAGACATTGGAAAAAAAAAATTGATCAATTCTAAAGTGGACTGAACCGTAAATATCCCGAAAATAAAATTGTGGAGTTACTTCGATAAGCCAGGAGGAGGCATAACCTTATCATCATCAACCTCAATAAAACCGTTTTCATTTTTTTAAAGGAGCAAAAATTGAGTTAAGAGTTTTTTATTCTTGCGAGCCCCAATCAACTATGAACAGTTCAGCAATGGAAATGACTTCCTATGCTAAGACCTACACTAACCAATGAAAATATCATTAAAATTCGTAAGGAGCGGTTTTGATTGATGAAACTGTTAAATGCAAGAGTGGGTGGATGTGAAACGGGGAGATCTTACCGGATTTGCTCCCCAATGTTGCTTCCCACAGTACATTGCGGCCATGAGTTAGCATTAGCAACATCTCTCCTTAATGACAACATATAAGTATGGGAGATGTTTTGGATTAGATCTATTCACGGACTGGGTTTGGGGCTTGACTTTGCACTGTATTAGGTTCAAGTTTTGGATCGGGCCTATTCAAATTTTGGCAAAAATCAAATTCGAGCCCGGCCCATGAACAAATCTCATCTCAGTGTGCGGTCACAAAATTCAGAAGGGTTGATGATACCCACTTACTTTCACATTTGAGACTTTTACCAATCAAAACCATTTGACATTAAGGCTGCATTTGTCATTCCTTATTTGAAGCTTTCAACAAAACAAGCGGAAATACATACTTCCAGGAAGGAGCAAAATTTTTTTCAGTGTAGGAAATCTCACCTAATTATGAGAGTGACAGGCTAAAGAAGACGAAACCACAGGAAAAGTGGCTGAACAAGTAATTAATACCCAGGTTAGGTAATTCTCTCAAATTGAAGTGGTCATAGCCCGCCAAGGAAGGAATGTTCTTCCCCAGACCAGAAATTCAAAGGATGATTTGCAATCTGATATTATTATATATATATAAGACATTGGGTACCGTGTATTCATGGATAGGAATCATCAACTATGGAATTCCCCACCAAAAGCCACTCGTTGTGATGATACTAATCTATCCAAACAGATCTTTTGTTGTCTACTTATAATCTGCATTTTTGTTTTTCTCTTATCAGGTCATTCCCCATCATTCAAAATTATGTGATTGATCAAATCGTTGCTAATAGCTACTTCATTAATGTTTCGCGTGGGAGATGTTAGAAATGGTTCACAACCATGGCTTTGAATTTGAGCCATTAAATGATAATTATATATATTAGAATGATGATGATGATGATGATTGGATGAATCAGTCAACCATAGGCTTATCTGATGCATTGTTATTTGGAATAACATGTGACAAACTTTCTTTCTCGCTCCCCACAAGATGGGATAGACCAGGCAATCAGGGAGTTATTTATTTGGATTTAAGTGATATTCAGCGAAAATAAATTTTTTGTAAATCTCACATAAATATAAAAAAAGAATATGAATATCTCAACCCCATTGATCAACTTCTCTTAAAATCTAAAAAAAGAATTTCATCCACTGATGAGTGATAAACAATGGGCCTCATCTTTATACACGTGGCAATTGAGTTATTATACATATCACCCAATCGGCCACATCACTCCACCTTCCCTCCCCTACAAGTAGACCTGACAATTGGGTTGGGTGGGTCGGGTTTGGATTGGGTCAAGACTCTTCGGGTTGATTTCGGGTTGGGTTGCCAAATGCTAGATCCTAACTCTAAATGTTCGGATTAGGTTGACCCATGGGTCAATTCGGGTCATCCCAAAAAATAACTGAAATTTAAAAGAATAAAAAAAAAACTACATGAAAAATGCCAAAATTAAAAGAACTAACCTTAAAATTCCAAATATAAAATAAAAAAAAACTTGAACATTTAACAATTTAAAGAGTAAAGACTAAATAGAAAAAATTAAAGAGTGGAAACTTCTAACAATGCATAAATAGTCTCAATTAGACTTGACTGTTGGGTCAGCGGGTTGACCCATGACCCAACCCAGTTTTCCAGGTTGGGTCGGGCCGGGTCATTCTCACATTCAGATAGCTAATATGAGACCCTAACCCTGTTTTTTCGGGTTGGATTGGGTCGGGTTTGCAGGTTGGGTCAACTTTTTGCCAGGTCTACCTACAAGTTAAGTTTTCATCAAAGGAATTCTGCCACATGGTAGACAACACAAACCGCCCAACAATGTTCATAGAGAAGCAGCAAAGTATCTAAAATAGACCCACACTTGTAGGTTTGGCAGCTCAACCGGATTGTTTGCCCGTTGTAATCAAATTGGATTTCCTGCTCACTACTCTCTATCCACACTACCTGCCTTGAATTGCAGCCACACATCGCCATTTTCTATTATGAGATGTGTGACTGCAATATACTGTGGATAGGGAGCGGGTAGAGAAAGTAAAAATCTGGGTTCCATTGTAATGCCCAAAATTTGGGGTGTCAAGGGACTGGATTTGGGTTATACCCCATCCAAATCAAAATCAATTTAAACAGATTGAACGGACCAATAAGACAAATTCAATTGGACCAATAAATATTAGTTCCAAGTATTTGCTGGATTAGATTGGACTTGGTCCATTTGTAATGGGTTTATATTGAATAGGATTAGATTGGACCAATATCCACTCCATTGAAATAAGATAAGAGTGTGGGTGTCTATGGACCAGATTTGGGTTGGACCGGATCTAAATTAAAACCAATTTGAACAGTTTAGGACAGTCTAGACATTGAATTAGACCAATCCAGAATGATCCATATTATTCATTAGATTGGATTGGACCTGGTCCATCTGTAATGGACTCGTACTGGACCAGATTAGATTGGACTAATATCCTGTCAGCTGCCCATACCAGATCAGATTGGACCTGGTCCATCGACAGTGAGTTCACATCTCTGCCCCACAGCACATCCCCGCTGTGTATTGGAAGCACCTCCCGATGATAGTACCAGTTCAGGTGATATCATCATCGGGAGATGTTCCCAATACACGGCGGGAATGTGCTGTGGGGCGTTGTGAGGCGGAGATTGATCTCTATGACAGTGGCTTGTGATTTGTGATACCATACACGCCCTGCCATCTATAAGTCTAAAGTGAAGCTTTTCCTTGCAGTTAAGTTGTATGCAAATTGTAAGCTCCGTCTTGAAGATTGTCCAGTTTTATAGACTAAGTCTAACCACTAGGTCCACTACTAAAGTCTAAAGAGGGTGCAAAACCCTTGGGTGGTGGTGGGGTGGGGGGGGGGAGCAAACTGAAACTGAAGTACGCCCAAAGGCTAAATGTAAAAGGGAAAATGAAGAAAATCATAAAAAATAAGCACAAATTCATCCGTGTTATTTCCATAATTGAGAATATTGGACACAGTCAGTGTAGTATTTAAAGAAAAACGTTGCATTCATAGCACAATTTACATTTTAGACTCATATTTCCTTCCACTAGAACCACAAATAAACAACATTTCTTAAAAAGAAATCAGAAAATTTAGCACAGAATAAGAGCACCCATTCACTTGTGAGGATTGAAGCAACTACTTAGTTAAGCATGTTTAGATACAAATTTCCAACTCTCAAAGAACTCGGGAGGTGAAAAAAATAAAATGACAGGAAATTGATTGATGAATCATTAATCACATCCTCTCCAAAGCTACTGGAGATATGGGAATCACACCATCTGGTGAGACAAGGGCATCCACAGGAATATCATTGGCTGCGACAGGGATGACTCCCTCATCCATGATCTGTAGAGAATATGACAGTGCAACTGCATGAAACCAGAAGAAAGTATCTGAATATGAGTAAGATCATTTGTGATCAATATCAATGCAAAATAATACCCCAATATGTTATTTATGTTAAGTCCTATAGGGTATAGATAGAGTTGGTCTATGTACCTAGGAGCGATTGCTTCCACTTCCGCTCAGCAGCAAGTCCTTGGTATCTCTTCAAGAACATGTCATAGTAGCTTTTGAGCAGTTATGTACAACAACAGGAACCATGTAAAATTGAACCAAGTTAACAATGTAAAAGAAAAACACAAACTATTTATTGAAAGATGGGTTAAAATTAGGAGAAAATTGGAAGCATTCTTGTGATGATCCTATGTTGTGGTACTGCTCAAACACCAGCACATGAAGTGCCACATATAATTCAAAGGCAGGAAGCACACATTTTCAGAAATTGATAATCAGGTATAGTTGGCAAAAGAGAACAAATTGGGAAAACAGGATTCATGTAGCCAACTCCAACATATACAACACCTGAATAATCAGGTATTTGTTGGGGGGCATTGTTTGGTGTAATGGTAAAATCTTAGGCTGACAAGCATGAAACACGGGTTCAAGTCAGAGAGGAGCCACTTTGTGCCAAAAAAAAATGCCCAAGGTTAGGTCTGTAATCCAGTCCACCCCTCCAAAGACACCAGATATCTGAGACCAACATTGGGTAATGAACCTTCTTAATAATCAATTAACAGTTGAAATAAGATTCATGTTGTTTTTCTTTTTATTTATTTTTTTTATAAAGTGGTGAATAAGATTCATGTTGATGGTTCCAAATAATTGGGATAATGCCTTGATGATAGTAGTGATGATCATAATGCTTATGAAAGGTACATATAGACCACAAAGCCAAATAGCTCATTGGGAATAAGACGAAGCAAGTTTAACAATATTTATGGCCAACTCATCTTGATCTGCCTACAAAATTGCCTTCTGGCTTAGTGAGTACAAACTAGAGCAGCAAAACTATAAGCTCAGGTGCAAGAATTTACCCTCCACCACGTCCCAACCGTCTTCCAGATCTATCAAATGCATAGCCTGGCAAGAAAAGAAATAGTCAACACAGTTCTCTCTAATTTCTTTTTTATTAGAATCAAATTATACTTATGATGTGAAGACAAACATAATTCTGTAGATTATCAATAAAATAAGAAGCAAGAATTTACCAGGTAGAAGAAACAAATCAACTGGATTGCTTGCCTGCATAACTGTATAGCAAAAGATCACTTAGATACATACTAGTGACCAACTCTGACAGCCTTGCTAACATGATAGCACCAAGAAGCATATAGAAGAAGGTAGTAATGAAACAGAGCGCCATCTTTTCTAAGAAACCTACCTTGTATTGGGCAAAAAGAGATGCAGAAGCAAAGTAGTCTAAAGAGTTCCAGAGGAGATAGAAAAGTTTTAAGTGACAATAAACAAAGTGTTTTAAAAGCACAAGGTGCAGGGGCCAATTTGCACCCGAGGCGCAAGGCGCAAGGCGAGGTGCGTGCCTTCTTCAAAAAGGCACACAGAATTTTCAGGAAATGTAAAAAAATTGAAAAAATACATAAAAATTTTATAAAAAAAATCAGAAAAAATACAAAAACAATACAATCTAAATTTCCAAGAGTTAAGAGTTAAGATACGAGTATGACAATGCAATCTAAAGTTCTAATTTCTATTCTAAAGCCTAAACTCTAAAGTATAAACTATAAAGTTCTAAACAATTAAATAATTAAAATAACATATTACTAACAGTCTAACATACTAAGCTAGACTGTTAGTAACTAACTTAGTATGTTATAAAGTTCATTGGTGCTTTTTATCAATAGTGCTGATGGAAATAGGTTTAAACAAGCAAAAAAGAACAGAATGATATAGCTGAAGATGAACCAGCATTATGGTCGATGCCCAAACCAACTCTGATTGGTCCTCCTTCACCCCCCCAAACCAAACAAAAAAGAGCTGGAAGTGTCAACACTGTCATTAGCTGACTTCAATGTTTGTTCACCTGAACAAGTTATTTAAAAGAAAAATCAAGTTCTTGTGAGGCCCACAGCGCTTTGTGAAATAGGAAATCAAATACTCCAACTGTGCTGCTTTTGATGAATAATACTGATAAAAAGTTCTATGAAAAGGCTGTCTGCTGTTTATTCTCTTTTAGAAAAATTCAGTGTTACTGATAAAAAAATTCATAATTTTAGTATTTTAGTTCCAAAATATTAGGGCATATTTGTTGCTCATAATGATTGCAAAAACATGCCCTGTTTTTCGTGCAAAACTGCAAACACAGTGAAGAAGATGAAGGGGCATAGCCCCTGTTTTTGGTGCAAACACAGTGAAGAAGATGAAGGGGCGGAGCCCCTCTTTTCGGTTTAAAACAGTGATGGAAAAAAAAAACAATGAACAATAAGGAAGGAGGAGGAGCGGCGGAGCCCTGTTTTTGGTGCAAACACAGTGAAAAAAAAGAAGGGGCGGAGCCCCTGTTTTCGGTGCAAACCAGAGGAAAATAAAAACAGAAACGAACTGGAAGAAGAAGAAGACTAGGGCGGAGCCCCTGTTTCACAATCCAAAACAGTTCTGGAAGAAGAAGAAGAGAATACCTATTTTCAATTGAATATGGCAACATGCTGCTGTTCTTCCTTCCTCTTCCAGCCTTTCGAAGAAAACTGTTCGTCTCCCTCTTTTTTTCTTGTTTTAGGAAGTTTTTTTATACTTTCCCCCCTCTATTTTCTATTATTTTTACTATATAATATGCAATAGGTGTAAAAAAACAAAAGAAAAACACTTTTTATAGATGCTAACAATTATCTATTAAATAAAAATATACAATCAGTCCAATTTTTGAAAACATAAGGCCTGCCTGGCGCCTGGCCTAAGGCGACGGCCTTCCTGAGGTGCATGCGCCTTAGCCTGGGCGAGGCGCATGACCTGGAATGCGCCTCGCCTCTGCGCCTAGGCACGCCTGAGGCGCGACTTTTAAAACACAATTCAAATGTGTATTTATAGATCAGAAACGTGGAAAAATATTTTGATAGGCCTATCTTTTTTACTAATACTTAAAGGAATAGAAAGGCATCATATTCAATAAATGTCTCCTTAGAAACCAAGTACCCATGTATCAGAAAGCACCAAAAGATTGAAAACATTATGTGATAGTTAGAGTAATGGAAAGTCTAAGTGAATTCTTTTTTTGATCAGTAAGTCAAGGTGGAATTATTGTTGCAACGGTTTGGTAGCAAAAACAGAGCAGGTTCAGAAGCAAGAGCTCTTCCAAGATGGCCAAGCAACTATGGAATAAAAGATCGTTGCAATTTAAGAATCTAATCTGGGTAAAACATATTAAACTTTAAATTTACATCATACACCCTGTAGATGCAATAACTGGACAAATTACTTTTAACTAGTGCTTTCTTGTTGTGCTTGATTTATGTTTATCCGTTATAGGAATTTGGTCATCAGCACAAATTTGGTGAATTATGACAAACACAGACACATTCTACTTTGTCAGGCTACATTTAGGCCCAGTGGCTTGGCCCAGGCCAACCCCTGCCTGTTCCAAGCCAGCCAGTCTTACCCCTATTTCAATAACTGGTTCCCAAAATTCTAACTAATTCCAAATTAGCTCCAAGTGGGTAGGTAACTCCAAGATCTGAGCTAATCCACCTTACCAAAATCCATATAGATTCCTAAACTTTAACCACACACATATATCAAAATGATTACAAATTGAAGATTAGGACCTTCAATTCCCCCCTCCCCCCTCCCCCAGCCTTTAGCTTTACAAATTAATTTATTACAAAGCCCTCAAGAGAAATGCAGAGAACCCAATGCACCAATTACATGTCACTGAAAGGGGAAGCATAGGCAACAATGATCAGTAATATGCAATTCAAAAGTTATTTCAATATTTGTAATGGACAAAAGTAAAACAAGTAACATCTTGAAAGAAGAAAACTAAAACACTTATAAATGGTGGTGATAAAAAAAAAATAGCAATTCAATTAACCCAATATATGTGTTATCGCCTCAAAGAGGTGCAGTACCATGGCTCAGTTCAACTAGTCATGTTAGTTTCATGTTTACCAGCAGACTAGAGAACCAACTGCGCTTTTATGATGTGCAAGAGCAACTCAATACAATACCCTGGCCCAGTTCAACCGGTTTTGTTAGTTTCATGTTTACCGGCAGATTAAAGAGCCAACTTTGCTTTTGTTATGTGCAAGAGAAATTCAATGTCTTCCATTTTCAGTTTTATTTCTATGACATTTCAAAGCATCAATTCAACACAACTAAGCCCTGTCCCAATTATGACATCTAAAAGCATACTAGTAAAAATTATTTTAGTACACAAAAAGGTGATTAAACCAGATAATAAGAAGTTTACAATTAGCTCATCCCTATTTTGTTTATGTTAATGAGAAGATAATCAATATCTGACCTCTTTCCTTCTCTTTTTTCATTTATGTTCACATTTATATCAAGTTCCAGGCAAGAATTAAGTAAAAAATCAGACAAATGAAATGCCAAATTACTGGTTAAAAAATATTCCTGAGAGAAAAATGATAGTGCCCATGGTATTAGAGATCTCTCATGAAACATGCATAAATAAAGCATTAAAAAGTTATTGTACATAAACATTTTACATTGCAGAAAATTATTTCAGACAGTCTTAAGTATCAACTATGAACTACAATACTCGAATTAAAAAGGAAAGGAAAAAGTACCATCCTCACGTTGATTTCCAATCCCATTGTCTGCAGCTGGTTCCAAAATGTTCATTGAGTTTGGAATTAGATCATTAAGACTTGAAATATTGAGCATTCGCATATGACTACTCCTATCCTCCACCCGTGGAACATAAAGCTTTTTCCTTGTCTGTACCTTGCCATCTTAATTTGAAAACAAATTGTAAGAACCTTTAGAAAAGAAATAACAAATGCATGCATGCAATGGATAGCATATCAAGACAATCCAGTGTTTTAGGAGCACAACTACAAAGGGTTCCTAGAGCCTAAGGTGCAAGGGGCAAGGTGAGGCATGCCTGAACAAAGTGAGTACCACCTTTGTGGAAGAAAAAATCAAGAGAAAAACTTAATATACAAGAATATGCAAATCTAAATCATAAAAGAAACAAAATTTTTCAAAAAGCTCTATCAGCTTAGTTGGTCAGAGTATCATCTTATTAACATGAGGGTTGTAGCCTGGTTAGCTGCACAACCTACCATATAGTAAAAACAACATTACCTATTCAATATCAAATTAAAGGATAATTCATCAAAATATAGCAATAAGCCTATGAGCCTAGGTGTGCCCTTTAAAGCACTAGGATAATCTAAACTGGTTAGCTGCACGTGTTACATGCAGGAAGTTCATAGTGAAATTTTGCTTGGAAGATTCCCTAGGCAAAAACATACACATTCTCTTGTTATTTGGTCTATCATTTTTCGTTTTTTTTTTTTTTGGGTGGGGGGTGATTCAGTATAATTCTCCTGATCATAATTGGTATGCTTCATAGAACCAAGAGATGAGTGGTTCTTGCCCTACATCCTGAAGCACTGAAGCTGTACTAACTACTGATATGCCATCCATCATAGAACCAAGAGAGTGGTTCTTGTCCTACATCCTGAAGCATTGAAGCTGTACTAATTACTAATATGCCATCCATAAATCATCCATTAAGTATCTGAAAGGAATCTCAGTCAGATATTTCATATTTTCATAAGCAAGAGTTAAATAATTCTGTTAAAAACAGAACACAAAGATAAAATGAGGAAGGACGAAACCGGAACACACACAGGCAGACAAATACATCCAACTATTAATCCTTTGACTGAACACTCAAAATAGAAGCATAAATTGCCAAGATTTCTACTTTAAAAAATAAAAATTAATCATGCATGCTAATAGTCAAGTTGAAATAGAATATGCACCTTCAGCCGGATTACATAAAACACTTGACAAAATTTTTGATGTATCAACTTCCCGTAAGGCATCACAATTTATATAAGCACATAACCTTTCACTAGACTTGAACCACAGAGATTCCAAAATAATGTTCTGAATTGCAATATCTGAAAGAAAGATAATGTTACAGAAAAATGAATTAGAGTAAGCAGTATTTCTAGTAAGGAAACAGAACTTAGAAATGAACAAAAAAAATAGAAAGATTGCCTGAATGAATTGAAAAACAGTGCAATTCAAAAGTAATTTTTCCTTGTATTTACAAGATAAATATGCTTCAACGGTTCAACCATATAACATATTGGGTTAATCCTCAAGTAAATTTCTAGATTATTGATAATTCTCTGGATCAAGAGTGAACTTTGACTACATTACCAAAAAGAGTATCACAAAATACAACCTCAAAACAATAAAAGCTACAAGAACATAGCAAAACTCTACAATATCAGTTAAACAATTATGAGCCAAATCCTACAACATTACTCTTTAGTCATGTGATAACATTTTCAACATGGAAAAAAATATAAATAAAAACAATTACAGAAATAATCTTATAAAATTTATTAAAAAAACATAACAAATATATCTGGTCCTTTAAGAATCTGTTATCTCTTTCCTAATCTCCCCCACCTTTTCTTAGTGCCAAATACTGTGAAAAGTAATCAAGGAACATTGCCCCTCCAGTAGGCTTCCAAATGAGTTCTGAAGCAATAACATCAAAGAGAATGACCAGCCCCTAACACCCTTCTCATCTCAACCAATATTGTCCACAATGACAAATTGGAAAAAACACCTCTATCCATTTCCCCTTTCAACTGCAGATATTGGAAGGGTGCAGAACTCTCCACCAGGATTTAGTAAATACCAGTTCTCTTTAGATATTATCATTCATATCAGCCAAGCACTTCTTTATACAACTTGATGAGATACTCCAAAAACCCTCTTCTCAACTTTGGAACCCTGGATCCCAATCTAATTTATAGCATACATCTCCTAACCTGTTTTCCTAAATCATGCCTTTACCATCAATCACCTTCCATTGTCTAATGAAAGATAACTTTCATCTCCTAAACATGTGCATTGTGTCATTAGCTGCACTGCTTATAATCTAATATTATTTTGGAAATTTGTAATGATTTGATGAGAAAATCAGTTAGCTGAAAATCATTTCTCCAATCTTTCATAAAATTGTAATTTGGATATGCCAGCCACAGTTATCGGATTAGTTCTTGGATGTCTAGAGGTATAACATAAAAGATTAGCAGACCTGATACAGTTTTGACCATTTAAAATTATTTTGTTTGTTGGAAGGAAGTTTATTTCCGAGCGGAAAGCTCCCTAGATCTTTACTGGCTCCAAAAAGCCATTATAAATGAGGTTTCTAAGTGTAGTCAACTGTGTTGACATGTGATCAATCCTTCAGGTCATAAACTTTCTGGTGTGCAACAAAACGATCAAAATGACTTAAGGCTGTGTTTGGTTGCAGTGCAATTTTATTTGCATTAGTACAAATGCATGGCAGTGCAAATGAAAAGAATGCAAACACTGATTTAATTTTGTTTTAAATTTTACTTTGTTCTGCTTCAGGTCTTATTTTACTTCATTTGTACTGCAATTGAACAAAATAAGGTACATTTTGAAACAAAAATAAATCATAATTTACACTAAAATCATTTGCACTACCATTGTTTTGCATCAGTGCAAATAAATTCGCACTGCAACCAAACACAGCCTAAAGTAAGCACATTTGACATGATGCTTAATACTTCATTTTGTATCAAACAAATTATATTAATAATTTACTCAAAAATATAAACCCAATGAGTTAACAACTTACGGTTGCATTCCGATGTTTGGATATGTTCTAAACAGCACAACATGTACAGAGCACCAATCACTAATTCAAGCTTACTTATTTACTTGTAAATCGGAATCAATCTCTTAAAGCTTTATACTAAATTCATCATAGCCAGGTGTTTTTAACTGTACGGCCGTAAGAGATCGGCAAAGATTGCATAAACATCTTTTTTTTTTTTTTTGAGTTCCGAATTAATCAAAGATAAAGATAAATCAAGCGTGTATGAGTAAACAAATAAAGACAGACCTGCCATATATTAAAGGCTTATAGATAAATTCCTTACAAGAGAACCATTTCGTTTGCACAAGCATCTGTTCTGGCTTTTGAATTTGCAAATGATCAAATATGTACAAATAAATAGATAACTGAAGTGAAGACCTTCTTGGGATCTCTGAGCAGGATTCATGCCCTTGAGAAGCTTGCGTATTTCGAATCGGAGTTTTCGCTTTTGCTGACTTATGGCATCGAGTTCAGAGTCTTTGGTCATTGAGACGAAGATGCTGCGAGCGTCGGAAGGTGGGCGCAGGATAAAGGAACGAGAGGAGGAGGGGGAGCAAGAGAATATTTGAGTTTGAGCTGCCGATGATGCTATGGTGCAGGATTGGGTGGTTAGCACCACCTTTGCCCTTTGGATAAGCCCATTTATTCTCATTCTAATGCTGTGAATAAGCACTAAGACATCCTCGATGAATCGAGTAAGAGACGCCCTGCAACTTTGCTTTCTAGCGAGTCTGCGATCGAGATTCGAGAGAATCTCAACTCACTAACCCAGTCAGTTTCCCGAGTTCGGCGGTCGAGGACAACCCATTTTTTGCCTCTCTTGGTGCTAGCGAGTAGCGAGTCGGTGACACCCGATCCAAGTCTTCGTTTGTTTGACAACGATTTTTCAACTACGACGTTTGGAGTCGGGTTTAACTGCCCCACGTCATCCAATGCTCCACAACCACTCCAGTCTAATCCGGTTTCGTCCTAAACAACCTATGGAAGATCACATTGGCATCCCACAGGCACCCCATAGCACATTCCAACTATGTATGAGAAACATCTCCCAATGACAATGTATATGTATATGTACATGTGGGACACTTATGGGAAAATCCACTACAGTGCTCGTAAGACCATGCTCAGACTGTTCTTACAGTCCCTTGCAGCCTTGTATTAAAAATATTTCCCTGTGAAAAATAACATACAAGTTAGGAGATATTACCAATGCACAGTGTAAAAGGCTATGCAAACGGTGTAAATATGGTCTTATAAGCACTGAAGCTAATATCGCCTATGGGGCACAAATGTGAATTCAATGGAGATATGCTTCCCTTCAATCCTTTATAATTCATACGGTTCAGTTTAAAAGGAGCACAAATACAAATATATACAGTATAAATATATATAAAATAATATAAAATACAAGATTTTATACTCTACAAATTTATACTTCTTCCAAACTTAGCCTATTGGACGAAGTCTCTGAGTATAACCATAACACCCCACGGAGGGTTATAATTACCATGAGTTCGGATCTGCTATCAACAATACATTCCCAACATGTCCCAACTGACTATTGCCATGAATGATAAGAGAGATGTTTCCAATATATAACTACAGTAGCGTGTTAGGACACTATTGGAAGTGTTATGTTGATAGCAGATCCCTGTCCAACTACCGTACAATGGATATCACAATCACCATCCTCCAATCCGGACAGGCTGGGCCTAATCGGACTTGCGGATATGTATAGCCCAGCCCAGCCTGGACTTGACCTTTATGGCAGAGGATATGGACTGGCCGGGTACCCAGACTGAGATTCCTGGGCCGGGGTACCCATTGCTACGCGAGTCCAAAATTTGGGAGCTTTTTAGTGGATCAAAAAGAGGAGAAAAAGTGAACTGTATGTTCTATATATAGTCATTTGTATGCATCATCGATCATGTAATCCCATTTATATGATGTCGACTACATGAATCTTGTTTTTCCATTCCAGTCTGTTTAGTATCATTTTATTGTATTTGGATGCATATGCATGGAATATGCAAAAATAGAAAGAAAAGTTTGTTTCTGTCTATTGTCATTGCAAATCTAAATCATATGCAAAATTTGCATTGTTAAATAGTGTAAAATATGCATTTTCACATATTGGTGGTTGATGCAAAATTTGCACGCTACCATTGGCAAGTGGAAAACATCACATGTTGTCATGAAATTAAAGATCCTTTCCTGTCTTGTTATTTCTGGAGCTATACACCCTGGTAGGACTTCAAACGAATTCGATTATTTTAAATCAAATTCGAATTGCAATTGGATATTGAATAATATAAATAAATTAAAACTAAGAATATGAAAATATTATATTACTAATAAAATGACTTTGATATTGTATTCCATGAATAAATTGTAAAATACTTGCATGAAAAAAATACAATCTTCAAAGTTTAATGTGCGATATATTAGGTCTGCAACAATGGTCCAAGATGGTAAATGATTAAAACTTAAATCAACATAAAGTATTATCCTTGCAAGGTGCCAACCAGCTGGTTGGTAAGGTTTCCTGTTGGTTATAGCGGACGAGCCTCATGAGGATGAGCCTTTTTGGAAGCCCTTCTCTTTTTCCCCTTCTTCAAACTTTTGAAGAGCTCGACAATAGGAATATCAGCCATGGCTACTACAAAAGGTAACGAACAGGGTAAATCACAAGATCAAGATAAACCAAAAAGAAGAAACAAGTACAACAATTGTGATGGCGACCTACCAGGAGGACTCAGCCCAGTTTGTATGAGCTTCTCTTCGGTCACGAAGTTTTCAAACTTCAGCCCGAGCTTTGCCCAAGATCAGACTTCTTCTCGTGTCTATTTGTCCAACTTGACACCGAGATCCTGAATGACAGGCCTCCAGTGAGTTGGAAATGGCCACCCTGCAGTGTTATGAACTACGAAGTAGCGCCTCTTCCAGGCCGAGACTTTGTTCAGAAGGTTGTGCAAGAATTTGTACCCAAGATGGGGAGACATGTAATAACTTCGCCTATGCTCGGGGAGAACACAGGCTGAATTCTTTTTTATGGACAAGATCGAAGAAAATGTGTCGAGGTCCAAAGGCCGGTTATAGTCGTGGAAAAGGGAGATGGTACCTACAATATTGCGGATCGAGTTGGGATGGAGCCGGTCTATGGCGACGTCAAAGAATTTGGCAACCTCGACTATGAAAGGGTGAAGTGGAAAACGCAGCCCAACTACGAGCTGCTCCTCGAAGACCATGATCCCATCATGATCGTGATCCCAAGGAAAATTACCTAAGGGAATTCTATATACAAGGCTACCGGGCATTTTGTATCGAGCTACCAGGGATAGAAGCCTGTCAGTAGTCATCGTAGATGGGCCAAAGCTGTCCGGTGCCCAACCCCAACGCGAAGTGGAGGCTAACTTACTAGAGGCCTCACGTCTTGCCAAGGTGAGTCCGCCTCGAACGGGTTGGAGTCCACATCCTGTGCTGAGGTGTCCACCTTGGCAAGACGGGACTCCGCAACCTACGCCGAGGTGCCCACCTCAGCCCCAGCGGACTCGCCACTTTCATTAAGAAAGCTATCTAAACTAACACTAGGCATGCCGAGCTAAAGGAATAGGACAATAGAAATTGGAAACAAGGAGAGGCGAACTCACCAAGAAGACCGAAGAAAGCGGGATGACCTCGGACACGAGGATAGTTGACACCAAGCTGGGAGACATGAACATGATTTCAAAGAACTCAATCACGCGGTTTGTGGCGAGAAAAATGGGCCCTTCGGCCCCTATTTATAGCCACTGTAACCAAGGTTCAACAGCCAAAATCTACATGATCCAACAGCTCCTATGAAAACCAACTGCACACCACCCGAGGTTGAAATCGGTTGAGCGTGCGTTTTGACGTCCGCGCATACCCAGTACGCGATCTGGGTCATTTCCTGGTCGAGCCAAGCAGTCATACAGGTCCAATTGAAGAACCGCCCTCCATACCATCTAGACATCGTGCCAAATCCACCTGGGCTCGTCATGAACTCCTCGTACCGGGTCAGGACCCCTAGCACGAGGAGTGGGGGCAATTGATGAGGGGTGATTTGGCCCGACCTAGTAAGTGAAGGACGCGTGGACACGACCTGCCAGCAAGACGACAACTCAGCAAGGAGAGCCTCGTCAATAGTTCGAGAGCTCGGGTGTTCGGGCACCTCGGTACCAAAGCCACTTCGACACCTAAATACCGAAGTGACACATAATCGACTCTAGAAGTTTCTCAGCGGACTCCGAACCTCCCAGGATCACGCCACGTAATGGAAGGCCTTATCCTCTTCCCACCCGAATCGGAAGGTAATGATAAACTTCATTAACTGATACGTTACTCTCCTTCTAAAGCGGAACAAATCCCAACTACGCGGATCGAAGATCCCAAAGCCGTTTCGTGAGACCCACGGCAGCTCAACTATATAAGGGCATTGACCCCCAAGACCCAAGTACGCGCGATTAAGTGCATTCTAGCTCTCTCATTTCTTAAACTCTCAGCTCACATATTACAGTTACTGACTTAAGCATCGGAGCGACCTCGCCGGATTAGCCACCTCGGATTCTCTAATCCTCATCTTCTTTGCAGTTCGAGCGATCTACTTGGTAATAGACGTCCGAACTGCCTTACAGTTAGGAGCATCCAAATTGCACACCATCAAGTATCATTATTTTAATGGCTTGATACTGAAAAAATCAGTATTGAGCGTATTGATACTTTGAATCATGGTGGATCAAAATTTGATCAATCACATTAAATTCAAATTCAAAATTGGACAAATACCATTTGCAACCCACACCATATACAACCCTGATGAAGGCAAAAAATGACTATCCATGTTTGATAGCCTGTTCATGCCGACCTCACAGCCCATCCCACCTTGTATTGGGAGCATCTTCCCATGAACAATAATATAAAGTATGGAAGATGTTTCTGATGTGCAGCTGAGATGCATTGTGTTGTGAGGTTGGTGTTAGGAGCACTATGTGAAGAGCTGATTAAGACTCTATGGATAGTATAAGCTATCGTGTGTTGAGAGCCAAAAATTTTCGGATAAAGGTGGAACCCAGATTTTCTATTCACTTTTCCTACCCACTCTCTTTATCTGCCATGAATTACAGCCTGCAATTCACGGCGGGAAGAGAGTGGGTAAAAAAATTGAGTAGAAAATCCAGTTTGATAAAGGTGGGGTTTTATCCCAAGCAGCCTCCATATTATCAGCAAGCTAGTTGTACCACTCTTTAAGTTGAAGTTTAAGACCCTTTTAAACATGGGCTGCATGGCTTTGCTGTATCCATCTAACGTTTAAAAGAGCCTTTTTTCCTTGGCCAATTCTTTTAGTTCATCCCACTTTCATTCTCTCCCATAAAAATGGGGACCAGATGATTTTGCTTTCCATTTTGCTATTTTCAAACAAATAAAGCAAACTAAAACGCAAAGCAAAAGCATACCAGAATTTGCACTGTCATGTATCATATAATTGCACTAGTTCCATTTGAACTGCAAATTGCAAATAAATGGAGTCTAAAGGTACAACCCTTAAAAGTGGAGGATGAGCACACCCTCTCTACAAATAAAACATATTTAAGATGAAATGGACCTTTACAGTGATAATGGCAAACAACCATTTGGGTATCAGATCATCCCTTTTAACATTTGTCATAAAGAATATAATAAGCTGCATTTATCCATCCTTTGGAAGCTTAGATCGTACATGTGATTTGATTCCTTCGAGCATGTGCGGGAAGTCTACATTTGTTTGATATGGGACGATAACTTTTATTAGCCAAAAGACTGAAGATAACTAAAAGGAAGTTAGTTGAGAGAGTAAATTAAAACACCATCGTCCAACGATTACGTTACTATTGGCCTTGTGGTGGAGCCCTCCCTCCTTTTCAGTCTCAGTTCTCAGGTCTCATCCACAGGGGGTTAATAGACACGGTTGGCCCATGGGTAATTAGTAATTACGTCTTTAGAGCCCAAAAATGGGCTTATTTAACCCCCTGCTAAACTGGCGGGCCTGAAATAAAGCCTAAGCTGTTAAACAACCTACACGTGACCACAAAAGCAATATGCATTACAACTTTGTGCAAACAACTTTCAGTAAAAAGAGGGATTGGATTAGGATAGACCTGCCTCTTTTTCCATCTCCCATACATGGAACTGGAAGTGTACTCTTGAGTAATAAAATAAGGGAATTTCACCCTAAATTGATAAAGGAAGCCCACCACAATGCAAGATATATTCCTATAAAGAAGCTTGTACGAGAAAAAGGGCTCCAAACGGACCCCATTACGATGCTTCTTTATTAATGTGCTAAAGGAGCGTGGTTATGCATAAAAACAGAAGCTTTTCTCCTTAAATCTATTGGGTTCTGGAGCATAGAGACCTTTATAATATAAGCTACTCTTTTCCTTCCCACATCACTCCTCTTTGCCTTAATACGCCAGCGTTTGCAATAAATTTATCAACTGATTTTTCTTTTTCTTTTTTTTTTATTTCAAAGGTTGGTGTTGTATTCGGATTGTTCTGCAACCACGATTGCAGATGATGTTTTCTCCTGAATGAATCAATCCTATGTGAAGAGAAGATTCTTATCGAATGGAGAAGAAATTAATGGACCCCTCAATCTTCCGAGCCTCGTAGAAAATCCTGCAACACCTATAGGAAATGGGTATCATAACAAGGACCCCTTAGCAGGAAATGGGCCTTAAGGTCCAATGGGACAACCGGACAGTTATGATACCTCTCCAACTTGTTCTTATTGTTTATATCTTCGTTGCCCATCGTGAATAAGTAAGGACGTAAGGTCTAGACCTCTTCAATGGGTTGGGTCTGGTCGGGAGAGGGTGGACTTGTCTCGAACCAATTAGGCAATTAATAATCAGTTCTGTAAAATAGACCCAGAGCCAACCCAATAAATAATTAATTGTTATAATCCGATTAGACCAAATCATACTTGACATCTACAATTAACTTGAAATTTCCTTTTTTAATAATATAAATTTAATAAAAATGGCAGTCAATAGTAAATTGTCCATATATTGATAAAATAAGTGCTTTAAACCAAATATATATATATATAATCAAATTCATCTTTTTAAACATATAATATAACAAAAATTAAAACAAAAACCAGGAGAACTTTATATGACCGGTCCATAATGGTGCCGCGTTGAATTGAGGAGATGCATCCATGGTTCAATGAATTGGATAGATTCTTGGTCTAACGATTCTTACTAGGTAAGATCTATCATATGATAACGTTAACAACCTTCAGACTCGACCCGTAGACCATGAGGCCTTTGATTTCTGGTGGAATTGGCTAGCTGGAAGGGATAGCCACTTGACAGCCTACTGTAGCTATTCTGATATAATGATGGGTTGAAAAAGAAGGTTTACGAAAATATAATACTTACAAATTAAGAGGAAATTCTGCATAAACACCTGCAGTGATTATAGAAAAATAAGAATGTGGTTGTCTTTGCCATCAAATTCATCTCTTTTAAAAATAGTATACGACAATTCAATTTGTTAATTGGACTGCTTAGGATGCTTGGTACGCTCAGTTGACGGATCGATTCGATGGAGCCCTCGCAAAGATGGGTTCTATCAGTGAAGATTGTTTCTTATGTCTTCCATATTGATTATTCCATATCGAGATCAATCATATACGCACAAAATTTCCAAGCTTCTTTGCGAGTTCACAAGTATTGACAAGCATGATCTTCAAAATCGGACCAGATTGGACGGTCAGACCGGAAAAATCGGGACCAGTCAGGTGATTGGTTTCGTTTTTCCTTAAAATTAGGATTTCTCAAAAAATCGTTGATTGTAGTCAGCAAACCGCTGACCCGGGCGGTTGACCGTTCAAATCATTTGAACGGTTTTGACCATTTTTTATTATTTTTTTATTTTTTGTCAGAATGGGCTGATCATCCGGTTCAAACAGTCAGACCATTCAACCCAGTAATCGGACCCCTGACCGATTTGGTCTCCAAGTCGATTTTAAAAACCATGTTGACAAGACTTGACTTGCTAATGTACCATATATATGTTCTACCCATATGGAGTGTCAATTTTCAAGCTCCATAGTCTATGCTTTGCTCAAATATATTATCTTTCACATCTATACATTCCTCAAGATCATATCTTGTTTCAAAGATCCTATTCAAACCTAACAAATAGGTTAAGGGTCTATTTGATTCACCAGAATAGGGGTCTGGAATTGGAATTAGAATGAGTCATTCTGATTCCAATTGTTTGGTTGGATGAAATCAGAATCCCATTTCTCTATTTCCGATGGAATGGTCATTCCCTCCCCTCTCAAATGAGAATGAAATCTCATTCCAGTTGACTTCAAATCCCATTTGGATTGTGTCTAAATCAAAGAGACTATGGGAATAGATCATTTTTGGATTTCTATTCCAACTGTAAATCAAACAAACCCTAAGTACTGGACTAGAGTGGACGTTATTACTCTAGGTCGGCATGAACAAACTGGATCAAAGTCAAACCATTCAAGCGTCTGGTTTGAATTGCTGAAGCGAGAATAAGATCAGAAGTGGAGAATAATGCACATTACAGGGGGTCCTCCCAGTCACCCTGTCCGACCGGATTGGACCACTTCACCCCACTATGCAGTGCTGCCAGCCAGTTTCATGTCTTGCTGTAGACAATACTAGCCATATTAGCCATATGAGCTCGAAGATCTCTCAATTCAAAAAAAAAAAAATCAGTTGAAATGGGATTTCATTCCCAAAAGAGGGAGAGGAAATAGTCATTCGCTCCCATGAGGAAAGGCCATTCTAGAAAAAATGGGAATGGGATTTGATTCAATCCATCCAAATAGTTGGAATTTGAATGAATCATTCAGATTATGATTCCAGACCTCTATTAACACGAGCCAAACGGGCCCTGATTGGAACAAATCTCAATTTAAATGGTACATGTAACTCTGTATAACCTGATATTCTTTTTCTTCTCACTTGGAATCTAGCAGTTCTGTGCTGATGGTAACGGTAACGAAGCTTTTTGGGCTTATTGACTTGGACCACGTGGCAGCGGCAAACCGACAACTAATGCAGCCGGTTTCCTTTCCCTTTTCCTTTTTCTAATTCTTCAAAGGAAGCCTGGCTGCTTGAAAACTACTCTACCCCCGGCTCCTGAGCTTGTTCATGCCGGGCTTTAATTTGTACTTGGGGTTTTAGATTCTCAGAGAAACCAAAATAGATGTCATCACCATGTCAGTGGAAAACCTGATTCTGGTTGTTCGAGATCTTTGTCACTTGGCCCAAGCACACAAGCCTATCCCCCCATTCACTCACACCCCCACGATTGTGATTTGTGAAGCAAAATGGTTGAATTCCAGTCTTATGAAATGGACAAAATAATCCTTCATGTGTAGGCTGTAAATGAACCAAACGCCAGCTATTCCTTTTTCTTTTTTGACGACCCTTTTGACTGTTCTGAATTGTATTTTTATAATTTTAAGGAGACTGCTCTGTGAATGTGGTTTTTTTTTTTCTTTCAGAAACAAATTAAAGATTAATTTATGGCCTTTCCAGGATGCAAATCTTATGTCCAGTAAGCGGTTTCTCTGATATACAGTGGGGATGGTCGTTCAAGGTTTTCTTTTGGTGCCCAAAAAAATGGGAGAAAAAAATGGAAAAGGAAATTGTTTTAATAGCCTCTTTTTCAGTGATGTTTCCTGTTTGATAAGGAAGTTGTCTGGATTGATGTTGCCTCCAGTTACGCAGTCCACTATCTCATGCCTTGGTTTAGGTTACCCTTCTCCAGCAGTCCATATTATGCTTCAAAAATAAAGGGAATCTTGGATGTAACTGAACTGTCCAAAAACTACCAATTGCTAGACCCTGCACAACGCCCAACGTGTTTCTATTTTTTTTTTCTTTTAGTGTGTATATATAAGAATTTAGATTTAAGAGTGAGATTCTATCCAAAGAAAAAAAAAAGGATTTGAGAGAGATAGTGAGGTCCCTTTGTTAGCTGCATGAAAATACACAACCCAAAGCAAATTTGTTGGTATAAAGCAAAGGGGCTCCCCCCATGTCACGTTCGAACCCAGCTAAGCTCTCTCTCTCTTTCTCTCTCTCGGTCCGAGAAAGCGCAACAGGAACACTTCCACCTATAAAGAAAACCAGCCATCCCTTACCCATCAATATTAAACCGCCGCTCAAATTCTTGCTTTAGCCAACTCTACCTTCTCCTTTCATTCTTGCTTTTCTCTCTTCTCATCTTCCCAGTCTTCCTTCTTTTCTTTCTTTTGGAGCATTGATCATAACCCCCAGCACGAGATGGTTGGTCTTTCCTCTTGCCCACCTCTGTTCTTTCTCAAGTACAAGCAGTCCCCCTCCTAGAGAGGAAGGAAGCAACGCAGACGATGAGGAAAAGCATGGGTTACGCTAGCAGGTGTTCGAGGGTTTTGTTTGGAGCTTTTGTATTTGTTTGCTTTGTTGCCATTTTGTGCTGTGTTGAGATAGTAGCCGGCGGTGGAATCACAACAGTAGAAATAGCAACGCCATCAACAAGAAGCTTGAAGCATTTGGAGGTGCTAACAAGTGAAAGACCTTCTGTTCAACCCGATTTAGATCTCAATTACATGAGCAAGAGAAGGGTTCCTAATGGACCTGATCCCATCCACAACAGGTACATGTATTGTCCCCTCTCCCCCCACCCACCTCACACATTACACCACACTGAGGCTCAACACAGAGTTTCACTCTCTCTAATATAATTTATCTAGCCACCTTCAAAAATCAACTCTTTCTTCTCCCTCTTTCCAATTGAGAAGTTTCGCTCACATACTCAAGTTGATCCAGCCTATAAGCTAGAAAAGCTACAACACAGTTGCGTTATTTCACTTCTAGATTCTAGCCATGTCTATATTAGTTGCCTAGATTTGATTTCTATTAGAGCAACTAACAGCTTATCACAAAATCGGATCAGGCTTTCCCAAAATAATTCAAAGAAACATATAATCCACAGTCAATTCTTGCGTTTTTTTCCCCTGTATCTAAAACGATGATATTCTCAGCATCTTGAACACATGATCTAGTGGGCCGTACTTTTGTTGATTCCAATCCCAATGTTAGATTGTCACTGTGGAATATGACCCAAATGTTTTCGTATTAGTTGTTGCACGAGGTGGGTCGTTACGCTGTTGATGGGCCTGGGTCATAGGTTTTTGTGTCAATGACTTTGAATCATGAAAGGAAAGGAAAAGAGAATCCATCTCTTCACTTTATCCATAAGCCCACATCCCTTGATCATTCCAACTCAATGCTAAATTATTATCTCAATTCTGTTCTCTCTCTCTCTAGAATTACACGTGCTAAAGCACTGATTTTCCTTTTTTTTTATTTTTCAGGAGAGCGGGAAAATCCAGACAACCTCCTGGTCGAGCTTAATTAGGCGTCAAGAGTATGGAGAAGAGCTTCACTTTGTGTAGAATATGAGTTAACAAGATTTATCTTGTGTGTCTTTTGAGTGAGGATTGTAGACACTCGGAACATTAGAGAAATCCTAATCTGCATAGTGCTCACCGGTTTACACAATTTGTTGTGTCTATGTGTGGAGAGATGGGCCGGCCGGGAGTAAAGAAAGCCAAGTTTCTCTCGCACAAAAATACACGTACAAGCATTCTCAGAAAGATTAAACCACCTTTGCAGGCTCCTCACTTTAGCATTTCCATGTTCCTTTAATTTTGTGAGATAAAGAGAGGGAGATAGATAAGGAGAAAGGGAAAGAGATTCAAGAATAGGGATTATCTTTTGCATGTAAAGACCCAAAAAAAAAACAAGTAGATACTATAAAAAAAAGAAAAGAAAGAAGATGGAAACACAACCCAAGAAATGTTCTAGTAGACATACATGATATGATCAGAAGGTATGTAGCAATCTCTTTCAATCAATCATCTTTGGCTTTGGCTTGGTTTGGCTGCTTTTTTTAGTGGCATGTGCGTGTTCCCAATCTAAAGCAAATCCCACCAATTAAAGGTGATTTAAAAAAATTTGTTTTTGTTTTATTTATTTTTACTTTAGGGGCTGCTCTGGTGGGGTGTGAGACTGTTCAATCTTGGGTCCATTCAAATCCTCTAAAACTGCATGAGATGGGATTCTTTATAGTATCGTTGTAAGAATGAAAACAATATTAACAAACATATAATGTCCAAAGTGAAAAAATCACAACACACAAAGCAGGGAGGGAGCCTTCTTTGTTGTCATGCTTTTCTTTTCTTTCTCCTGTGTTTTGTTTCCTTCTTTTAGTTTCTTTTCTGATTTATTAAATTTTTATTGAATCGAGAAGCAAAGACTCGGTCTAAAGTTAGGGTGACTTTCAAAATTAGGTCTGCTATTGCATGGAGACAGGAGCCCTTCCCGTGCAATATTTTATTTTTATGTAGGTAGGTGGCAGCAATGGTCCACCAGGCACCAGTACAGTGGGCTGTGGGCTGAGAGGCTCACCGGCCGTGACGGCACGGTATCAAAGAATGCGACCCAATGTTTCTAGTCCCAAAACAGATGGAGACATCAGCCGGCCGGTTCTACTGGTTTTCCATACTTCATCAAACTTGGGCTGCATGGACAGAACCTGTTTTAATTTAAGCATTGGCCAAAGCCACCACCCCACTGGCTGGGCCGGGCTAGGCTAGCCAACCACCCTCTGTGCAATCCAAAGTGAGGACTGAGCGGCTGAGGCCACCGCAGGCCATCCGTCGGCGCCATTGGTAAAATTTACAAAACTGCAAACCCAAAATAGAGGATCTCTACTAAGCTAAACAGGACGCCATCAACAAACTATTCACAGTGGACTGTTCTCGTCAACGAACTGTATATTCTTCATTGGGCTGATATGGACTGAGTTGATCAAACGTTTGGGTAGACGGTTCAAATGTGTGATTTGGTAAGCCGGATCTGCGGTAGACCTACCTACAGCTATTGACTGATTTGTTATTTAATACAGGCAATAATTCAAGTCCCTATCTCCTACCACGAAAACTCTGTCCACATTTATTGCAGTCATACATGGAAAACATCTCATTCTCTGTATAGTATTATACAGAGAAAGATATTTCCAATTTACGGGGTAGTATATTGTGGGTAAGCGCGGGTAGAATTCTCATGGGCAGGAGATCCGGACTCCAATAGTTCGACCTATAATAACTTAAGTGAAAGTGTTTTTAGTACATATTTTAACTAGTACATGTATTTAGGAAAAAGAGTTTCCCAATTCCCAGTTGGGTCAAGAGGGGAATTTGGAATTTGTACACTATTTTTGATATGCAGAGAGGTAATGTGACAGATCAAACCTTCCACAACCATATAGATTGGCCAGGTGTTTTATCCCCCCTGTGGCCCTGTCCATATCAGCCCTATATGCCACTTTATTGATGCTTTCATATGAACTCCTTGAATGTTTGAAGATTCCAGGCCGAGAGAGAAAGAAGGTTTGAGCAGGCTGGTGGCCCCAGCATAGAACCCAGGCCCTTTGTTTCCCTAAGATAAGTGGACCCCCCCCCCCCTACCCACACACAGAAAAAGGGGACCTCAAACAAAAATAAAATAAAATAAAATTCGTCTTCCTTGATATGACATAAAAAAGTTAAGTGTGCGATTTCCTTGGGCCAACCCCGACTTGAATAAATTCAATCTTTTTAAGTCAGTTTTTTTTTCAAGCCAAGAAGGCACAATCCATTCAAGTATTCAACTTTTTAGGTCAGGTTTGAATCGGTATCTAATGACCTTAAATTAATTAATTGTGCTTGGGATAAAAATTATCATCTAACAATGCTTTAGGCACTACAAAACCTACCCAAATAAACCCCGATGGAAATACCATTAAATGGCTAAAAATGCTCTGACATGCTTAATTTGCTTCATGGCTATCCCATATATTCATCTTTGGATTGGAAAAAGAAAACTTTGCATACTGTCAATTCATTTATGGGTAGACCGGGCTGGGCCCATTAGAATTTTGATAAACGTCAAACCCGAACCTGACCCACAAAAAACTATTCATTATCTTCAAAATCATTATTCAAGTCTATGTTTCAATTATATGGAGTAAGCTATGTAAATCTTGTTCTATCATTATTTCTATTTTTTGTATTACATATTACACATTATAGGGATAAAAGGGGAGCAGGGTGAGCAGAGTGCACGCGAGGCCCATAATTACATGAGTTTGATGCAATGCCTCGTATTGGGTCATTGGCAACATTATGTCTATTCAGTACCATATCAATTGACCATCGTTAAACTATAGGTATCTGATCATTTATCACTATGTTATGTATCAAAGACCAACCCCTTGACATGTTTTTTTATTAAAAAACAAGTAATGTGGTTCAAAGTAATGATACACCCCCTAAGTGTATCAGGTAGTATCGATACTTTGAATCTTGATCAAGGCACCCTATGATGCATCCATTTTACTATGCAGAAAATGAGATGATTGGTTGAAATGAAGGTAAGTGAACCTTATTTTATTTTTTGATAAAATGTTAAACGCAAAAATATACTTTGTTAAATTTGAATTAATAAAAAATAAATAAACTTTAACGTGACTAGTAATATGCAGTCAATAAAAAATAAATGCATTAGTAATATGCAGCCAATATTAATATATACTTCATCCCCCAACCCAGGTGCAGGTGCAGGCGGAATTCAATCTCATCGCTACCACCAGCAGGAGATTTTATCAACAGCTGGTTGGCACCTTGCATTAAATGCATTATAGTTGAACTCATATTTCCATATTTCAATCCACATCCTCTTTTTGAATAAACTCACAACCTTGCAGTATCCCAATCCAAACTCTACATCCACCCCATGCCTTGTGTGCTTTAACAACTGTTGAACAATGTATCCACAACTTTCAACAACCTCATGCCAAAGCTAGGAGAGGGTGTTAAAGTACTATTAGCACACATTATTCATTTGCTTATTTGAACACATGGTACACATTTTTATATATCATTTGACATTAAAAAAATAAAGAACAGAGAAAAAATTCATAAGGAAATCCAAAAATCTAGAGAACAAATAGTAATTATTACATTTTTTTTCCTTTTCCTTTAATGAGCTCATTGAGCTTATCCTTTCTCACAATCAACCCAGTCAAAAAGCGTAAATCTTTGCAACAAGAGTCAAAGAAATTGAGCACATTGTTTTGTTTGAATTTTGGATACATAAAACACACTATAACTAAGAACATGTTGTCCATGTTTTCTGTTTTAAGAACCAATTTATTTGTTTCTTCAGAGACATTTGATGAAAAGATCCAATTTTAATTTCAAACTAGCTGGTTTTATCTGTTTTGTTTTTGGAACCAGCAACGATAAAAACAATTCACATAGGAGAATACCCCCTTAATCTACTTTCCCTCATTTTATCACTTAGTGGAGCCTTTCATAGGTTTCTTTGCACAAGATTGTTTTTAATCATGTCATTTCTTTTTCCATACATCCATCTCAGTATTTGCGTTTCTATCACACTCATCATTTTTCAAATATGTTGTTTCTTGACTCTCCAACACTCATACAACATGATTGGCGTTATACCTGTTTTGTAAACTTTTCCATTAGAGTGGTATTCTCCTAAGTCCTATCACAAAAAACTTCTGATGTACCCCTCAATTCTGCCCATTATGCTCTGAATCCTCTGATTTATGGGCAACATCCTTTTCAATCGACCCCTTGTTATGGATCTCAGATCAAGAAATGCCAGCATCACATACCTTGTTTATCACAGAAATGCCAAACTAAAACAAAGCACAAATCAATTTGATAGCTTATTGATTCAAAATCAATTTGGAATAACCTATTAATTTCTCTTATTAAACACTGATGGTGCGCAATCCGGTGCTCCTTGCTTGAGGACAGTTCAGACGTCGAGGTGGTGAGGTTGGTTGACCAAGCTCCAAGAAAACACTAATCAAAGTACTCGAGATGTTTTACTTTTACCCAAGGTAGACACTTCGATACTTAAGTCAGCGAAGAGTGTTAAGAATACTAGAACACAAAATAGCAGGAGGATTCAGAAAGCTAAATTATGCGTACCTTCTTTGATTGATGGGGCGCCTTTATATAGGCGCAAGTAGCTGTGAGCTTTACGTAGCGTGTCCGAGATCTTTGGAGATACGTGGCTTATCTGCCCACCGCACTCAAAGGTGGTTTCATGCTCGAAGACGGTTTTTGCGTAAAGCAATAAGCTTATCCAACTACCTTTTGGACCTCGGCATGTCAGAGACGATAAGCCGCACACAGAAGAGGTCAGTCATCATGTCAAGTAGGTCACCATCTGGACCTTGGCGAGGTCGACGAGGTCTCATAAGGAGGTTACCCCTTATGCCGAGGTGCCTACAAATCAGCCCTGCCAAGGTGGTGTTGGTACTCTTTTACAGTGTGCGTAAGGTGTCCGAAGTGCTTCCAAGGCAGAGTCTGATCTAGTCAAAGATAATTCATTGCCTATGTGGCACTGAGGTATTAAACAACAGTTCAGAAGTGCCATTTGGCATGATGTCACTGGAGAGCCAACCCCCTCAATTTTGCCCATTATGCTCTGATTTTATGGGCAACATCCTTCTCAATCAACCCCTTGTTGAGATGCCAACATCACATACCTTTTTTATCATAGAAATGCCAAACTAGAACAAAACACAAATCAATTTATTTGATACATTATTGATTCGAAATCAGTTTGGAATAACCTATTAATTTCTCTTGTTAAACACCATTCCAACATATACACACACCAAAAAGAAATCCATATTATTGATGGTTCCCCCCACCCCACCCGAAACACCCCACAAATAAATAATTAAATAAAGGGAAATTGTCTAAAAATCACCATGAGTTTTCAGCATTTCTCTTAAACTCACCATAACTTTTCAAAATGTCTAAAACTCACCATGTCACTAACTTGACGTTAAACAGAATAACGAGTGTT